TATAATAATAAATCAATAAAAATGCAAATCTGTCAATCATACAACCAAGTTTTGTGAAATATTATGGGAAAATTACGTAAGAAAGTTTTGTCTTCATAAACCAAATATATGGATCATTTTTTCTTCTAGATGTTGTTTATTTTGCAAAGGATTTGAGTCTATGCAAAAAAATTCGAATTTTCTAATTCCTATGTATATTTGCGACCAAATGTCATAGACCTTAGATATTTCAAACTATGAATTCTGCTGGATTAAATAATCTATGCTTGAAATATCAAAGGTTTGCAACATCAGGTTCCAATGATAAATGGATGAGAAATATTGAGTTTGTTGCAAAAACTCAATTCCTTTACTAAGCATATCACAGTCACATTGATCTAGACAGGATCTATAGCAACATTACTATAATAGCTCCTTTCATATATACGAAGCAACATTACTTCTAGGATGTTTTCACCTTCTAGCTTCATTGATTTTGATTTTAAGAGACGAGAATTGCTCCTTTCATATATACGAAGAAATTTAAAACATTTTTGTTCTTGGCTTTTAAATAAGAGGAGTTAAGATTGAAATAATAGAAGATATTAATCATATGTGCAGTTTACTTTAAAGCTTAACGATCTATATTTATGTGTATTATGCATTAAAAAGTTACCCAAAAAGATGAGACTTAAATGGCGGCCTGAAATACTTAATTAAAACTTAAGTTACTGAATGGAATTTCATAAGACTTTAATGGAAATTTATAAAACATTAATGTAATTTCATAAAACATCAACGGAATTTCATTAAACGTTTATGGAATTTCATAAAACGTTTATGGATGGAATTCCATAAAACATTAACGAAATTTCATTAAACTTTAATTGTAATTTCTTAAAACGATTATGGAATTTCATAAAACTTTAATGGAATCTTATTAAACATTAATGGAGCTTAATAAATCATTTATGGACTTAAAGAATTTCATAAAAAATGTATATAATCCTTTTAAAAATTTATGGAATTTCATAAAACATTAATAGAATCAAATAAAAAGTTATTGAATTTCAAGAATAACTTTGGATTTATAAAACATATTTGAAATTTCATAACACTTTGATAGAAATTGTATAATTTTTTTTATAGTCTCCTAAAACTTTAACTGAATCTGTCATAATTTTATAATCAGAACAGAAATATCAAAACATTTTAAACTGCACATCAGAGCATAACGAGCGTTTATAATATTGCAGTTTTGAATAAGTCTTTTTTTGACAAGCACACCAAAAAACATTTATATTGAACGCAAACAAATCAAAAAAACACTTTTTGCGCATAATAAGAATTATTCAACAAATATTATTAATGTATTTTTTTAAATTCGCTCTTTTCTGTACATACTGTACATTCTGTACATCGTGTATGTTGTAATAACGCCAATATATAGTTTTTGTATGATACAACTTGAACATTTGTGAAGAGAGCACTTGAAATAATAACATATTGATTATTTTCCAGCAGGGTGTATTCACACTTTTTTATTCGTTTTTATTTTATTTAATTGACTCAAACAGTGATAGCAAAAAAGCATCGTCTTGTAATTTTTTGAAACATGTCATAAAATACAGGGTGTCCCAATAAACATGGGAATTCAGTGACGAATTCGATATAGTCTTTTAAAAAAATCCTTGAATTAGGAAAATGAAAACCAACGAAAAAACAGGAAAACTGTAAGAGTTTCGTCTGCTATGTTCACATTTTGTTTGTTTATGTTTTGACTGCATACGGGTGTTCTTCGTAAAACAAGAAAATTGCAGTATACAAATAGAGTAATATTGTTATTGTCCGTCTTCACTGTTCATCTTGCGGAGACATTATAGACACATCTTTACAGTCTTACCCTTTTCATAAGATAAATTCTAGCAGACATAATAATATTACGGCTTTTGAAATTAGGTATTTCAATACTAATTCATAAAAAAGACGATATCTAATTCGTCACTGAATACCCATGTTTTTTGGGAAACCCTGTATATTGTTATTTAAATAGTGGATTTATTGCTAAGATATGTTCACACTACATATACTCTGTAAGGTTGAAATATTGTGTTTGAAATTCATTTCTTAAAATTCCAGATTTTGCACACTAATAAAAGATTTAACACACGATGGGACCCATGAAATCTGAGAATAAGAAGACGACATTTGGACAATCTTGTCCTGTCTATTACTTTTCATGTTGTCTCTACCACATAAGTGGTTAAAAATGAAAACAATAACAATTTTTTTTATTAATATTAATTAGCAATTTAAATGGCGTTAACGTTGCGTTATCAAAAAATACAAATTTTGTGCAAACAATTCATATCTAGATTTTTTGTGTTTTTACGAAGAGCAATGTTGCGAGATTCTCGAAATTGTGCCGAGGTTGCGTGAAGTTTATTTTATAATATTTCTTTTTTTATTTTAATTAATATTAATATCAACACAGATAGAACACTAGATGTCGTCTTTTCAAGATTCAGGGGTTTTTCGTTCACAATAACCATGAGCCAGGCAGCACATGCTCTCTGTCTGTCTTGTAATTCAATGCTGGGAGTAACAATTATTTAATGAAAAATGAAAAAAAAACCGCTTTAGTGTATCGTTAAGAATACGAAATGCAAGTATTTTTCTTACTCTAATTAAAAATTGATTCAATCGCTGAAATCATTCATACTTCTTTAATGTGAACATTTTTGTCCTCAACCTCGGTATTTTTATTTGAACCGCTGGGCCTCTCGTTTTGAATAATTAATTTGCTTACAAATAAATTATTAATACTAAAACTACTCATGATTATGTAAACTAACACGTTTCAATTTTATTTTTAAAGACCCGAGCTCACATCAGTTTACAGATTTGAAAAATGTTAAAAATTTGTTTTCAGCTCTAACACTCTCAATTTTCAATTTTTTTTCTATTAAAAAAATCAATTTGAACTCGAATATTCATTATTCAAGCTAGTTTCACCAATATCAAATATCAATATGCCTTTTAAAATTAAAATTTTCACTTTTACTAGGGATTTTTTACACTTCTTTTTTTTACTCCTTTTAATTAAAATTTAAACATTTTTGAACATTTTAATTCTGTCATCTGTAGGAAAAAATTCAGTATTATTATACGAGTGTATACTTACTTAGAGGACCGTTTTAGGTCACTATCTGAAAATTTCTTGTCAATTTATATATTTCTTAAAATGTGACATTCACTTAAAAAAATCATTATAAAAATTCTAAGGAAAATTTACTGCTTAAATAAGAAAGATACTTTTAATCCAAAGTATTTTAATCAAATTCATAACGCAACATTACGTTGAACAATATAAAAGTGTCATGTTTTCTAAATATATGATTTGCTTGTCTGTCTGTTTGTATCCAATAAACGTCAAAACAACTGAATCGACAGGGCCCAAATTTTGTGAGGGACCTCACATACCCAAGGGAAGGTTTATGGATGCTCAAAATAACAAAAAGTTGAGTCCAAAAGTTTTAAATTTTTGAAAATTGCCAAAATCACACTAATAAATCCGCGAACTTTTTTTTGTATAGTTTTAAATTGTACAAATTGAAGTTGCTCAAAGATAGAGCTGCACAAAAGTTGAAATAGAAGATGGGCGCGAAACGCTTTAGAAGCCTAATATATGTATAATAATTACAATTAGAGTAACTTTTATATATGTAATTGCAAATTGTTCATATTTTAGGATTTTAATTAGAAAAGCTACACTTTGCCTTTTACTTGGTTATTATTACCGTATTTGCCCTGATTAAAATTAATGGCTAAAGTGTGAAACAAATTACACTCCCTCCCCTCCCCCAACCCCCTTTTTCCCATACTCCCACCCTACCCAGTGCACCTTCGTCACACCTATATATTGATTATATAAATAATAAATACTCAGGTCTGACATAAACTGAGTTCCCACCCTTATTAATCTTTATTACACGAGCATAATTAATGAGAGAGGTCCAGGGGGGAGTACATGTTGTCCCAAATACCTTGGAGAGTATACAGGGTGTGCCAAATATCATGGAGAATATACAGGGTGTCCCATACACCTTCGAGTATACAGGGTGTCCCATACACCTTGGAGAGTATACAGGATGTCCCTTAAACCTTGGAGAGTATACAGGATGTCCCTTAAACCTTGGAGAGTATACAGGGTGTCCCATACACCTTGGAGAGTATACAGGGTGTCCCATACACCTTGGAGAGTATACAGGGTGTCCCATACACCTTGGAGAGTATACAGGGTGTCCCTTACACCTTGGAGAGTATACAGGGTATCCCATACACCTTAGAGAGTATACAGAGTGTCCCAGACGCCTTGGAGAGCATACAGCATGTCCTAAATACCTTGGGATATACAGAGTGTCCCATACACCTTTGATAGTATCCTAGGTGTCCCATACACCTTGGAGAGTATACAGGGTATCCCATACAGCTTGGAGAGTACACAGAGTGTCCAAGACATCTTGGAGAGCATACAGGATGTCCTAAATACCTTGGATAGTATACAGGGTGTCCCATACACCTTGGAGAGTATACAGAATGTCCCATACACCTTGGAGCGTATACAGGATGTCCCAGACACATTGGAGAGTATACATGGTGTTCCATTCACCTTGGAGAGTATACAGAGTGTCCCAGACACCTTGGAGAGTATACATGGTGTCCCATTCACCTTGGAGAGTATACATGATGTCCCGTATACCTTGAATAGTATACATGATGTCCCATACACCTTGGAGAGTTTACAGAATGTCCCAAACACCTTGGAGAGTATAAAGGTATCCCATGTGTGCGTAAACAATGACCAATTACCAATTTTAAAAGAAAGCAAAAATGAAATTCTATTTCTATTTCCCGTTAAATTTTAAATTCTTCGGTTTCTTACACACTATTTGAATTATAAAAATAATTGGTTTCAACCTATAATTATTTCAAATTATAATGAAAGTAAAAAAACACAATTTTCTTTTACAAATTCATGTTTTTAAGATTCATATTGTAGGGTTTTCAATATAGATTCACACTTTGCCATGGAGAATACACTTATCATCTTTTGTAAATCCACTTGAGCATACTTTTTCAGAAGAATGAGACAAAGCATAGCATTTTTTAGAAGTTCTTCGTCATTTTCCTCTTGAATAACTTGGACGATTTCGTAGCAGCTTGGCGCATTTTCTGGAAGATTTTGCGGGATAGTTTTGAGCAGGATTGTCAGTGTGTTAGATCGGATCTGAGTATCAGGTATTGAGAGAAGTGCGGGAAATATGGTAGAATGAAGAACCTGCGGACTATTTCTAGAAGTATAAACCAATCTAAGAAGCAGGCCTACACACACAAAAATCTATTACGTTTTTTTAATACATATAATTACAAGGAAAGTATATATAGATGAACACACATTATGGTGCTATATATTGCATCCCTGCAGCTGCAAGGCTGCAATCCTAATGATCACATCATTTTTTGCAACAGAGAATATACATAAAAACTGCCATAAAAGAACATGTACACTGTAGAGTCTCATATTTCTAGTTTAACAATGTTTCCTCTCAACGCAATGGACTTATAGGGAACATTTGATTTATAAACAATGATAAAAATTAAATATATTAATTTATAAAGATTTTTTTCCTGTTATTGATTTAACACACTCCAAGTTTTCTCTGAGATCTAAAACATTTAAAAATCAAATTTTTTGTTTGTTTTAAATTAATTTTTGATTTGGTTTGGTTAGTTTACCTGATCTTTGTAGATAATCCATTAGAAGATCTGCCACCCCTCCCTCTTCAAGACTCGTCATATAGGAAGAAGTGGGGATGGCAAATTTTCCCGAAGTGTAAAGTGGGATTACTAACAGGTCCACTATTTTTTTTACAACTTCAGAACTCACTAAACAGAATTTTATAAGAAACGAAACATTAGACAAAAAGGGACTGAAAGTGCAAAAACGTTATTATAAATGACCCTCTATTTTCCATTCACAATGGTACTCTTAAATGTTTGGTCTGATATTCATATTGGCCATTTTTAAATGTGCTTTCGCAGCAGGAACAATTGAGAAAATTGTGAGAATTGAACAATTTTCAAGCTAAAAAATGACCATATTGTCCACATTATTGATTAGATAAGGTTAAGATGGTTCTAATTGTAAATTAGGCATAATGAAATTACAATAACATTCCCTTTAAATTCCTAATTGATTGATTAAAAAAACCCACCTGAAATAGGAGACTTAAGCAGCGGTAAAACCATGAGAAGAAAGTTCGAATTATGAATTGAATTACAGGTCTTCTGTTCCTCCAGCTCCTGAAGACATTCTTTTAACTGGAGATCAAGGAACTCGTTCCATTCATCATTCTCATCCTCATCTAGTGCTTCAGAATCATCATCATCATCCCTTGGATCATGAGCATCTGTATTCTTAATAGTCTCATTACTGTCAATACTTAAATTCTTCAGATGCTCTCCAATCAGATCAGTTTCCAAAGCCATTTCCTAGATACAGGGTGGATATTTTCTTGATAACAATTTTTTCATTTTTCAAAATATCAAACCCCCCCCCCCTCAACCTTCAAAAATAGTACTCACCCATCCCTCTTCAAACATTACCCCCCGCCCCAGCCCCTGCAATAAAGTTTTTATTTTCATTTTCATTCAAATGGAGAGGGATTTATAAGAAATATAAAAACGAGATTTTTTGGGTGACCACTCCATGAAAAAAGGGATGGGGCAATTCTTCAAAATATATTCCCCTGCCTGGGTACTTGGATTCTGATTTTTTAGGGTAGAGTAATCACCCTCCTCAGTCAGTATTTCAGTCTGGATGTTTTCTAAGTTCTCTTTATTTCCAGAGAGCTTAATGATTGGCGAAGGCCTTAATATTTTTTCAGGATTGCTCGTCAGATCTGAAACCAATAAAAAAATTATAATATTATTTAAAGCAACCTTTTCTCAGAGGAAGTTTGATATAAAAAAAATCTACTAGAATTGGCTCACTAACTAGCCTAAACATTTGATTCATTGGAAGTCGGAAGTTTAGTTAATCGATTTTCAGACAAAAAACAAAGATACTTCCATCAGTTAAAGAGTGCCTTGCTGAATCAAATATGGCACAAAGTATAAAAAATGTCCTACTTAATAAATAGCAAGATATTTACCTGAAGTAAATTGAATAGGAACACTACTACGTTGACCAGAATATTGTCCTTGAAAATTAACCCTTGAACACTGGACAGGCTGGGCTGCAATATCTGATTCCATATTCTGAGCAGGAGCAGAACACGGGTTCAAATTTGTCGGAAGTTGGTTTGCTGAATCTAGGTTATGTCGGGAGTAAGGAGAACCTTGTTGAGGCTGCAGGGACGAATCTGATGAGAACGGATGAGGGTTTGGAGAAGGAAGACCTGCCTGAGACTTATTTTGATGGACAGACGAAGGTTGGAGATTAAAAAGCTGTTGGTTTGAAGCTTTAATCTGTGGGTTGTGAACTCCAGTATTCTGGTAGACTTGATTTGAATGAAGGAACTGGTTGGGAAGGAAGGAAACCTGTTGTCCTGGATACGGGGTATAAATGCATTATTTTGAAATCACCCATTCATCTCCCCACGGTTCCCATTCCGAAGTATTTCTCCTTCCCAATAGTTATTTGTAGATACTTTCTCTTTTTTTCCGCTGAATTGGGGGACATTAAAGGAACTGTAAGCGTAATTTCAAGTGACCCTCCATGCAAAGAAGGTAACGGTTTACATTGGTACCCTATAAACCTTTGACTGTTCATCGAGTAAAGATAGCTTTGTTTAAATATACAGTTTGACCTCAACACAGTTGATACGCTTCTTGTGTAACTTGACATAACAGAATATTTTTCATTAAAAACGGTTTCCAAAAATTCAAAAGAAAATATTTTTTTTTGCAAATTCTAGAAAGTGGATATTAATATTTTTAAAACTTAAAAAATTTGCAAAGGAAAGTGTTCCATAAGAAAGTGAGAATAAGTCAAACTGTGGCGGCTATGAAAGTTGTCTTTCCTTAGAGAACTTCTCGCGGCAAGGAGAAAGAATAGGGGAGTTTCCAGAAGCCAGGAGATATATATTTTTCTAACTTTGTAACTTTATATTTAAAATATAGTTAGTCGTTATCAAATCCTCGTCTTATTGCTATCCGCCAAAAAACAACATTTATCAGTCGAAGGTTTTAAATTGGGCTTTGACATCTTTGCATGGAGGGTCACTTGAAATTACGCGTACAGTCCCTTAAATAATTTTCAGGATGAAGTAATTCATTTTTTTTGGAGAAAAAATTAAAACCTGGAGCTTAACTTGATAATTAATATTTAATTGCAAATCTTTTTCTCCCAAAATATTTTAAATCAACCCACCCCGGAGCCAGTAAATTAAAGAATATATACACCCTAACCTAAATAGACTGAAGGTAGATTAGAGCCCTGAAATAGGGGTTGAAGGAGGAAAGGATGTCTATGCGGAGGAACAGGTTGATGTTGACCTAGGTGGGCTGACGAGGGAAGAGGTTGTTCAGGAGACAAGTAGTGGGCCTGAGCCATACTTGGTAGAATAGCTTCAGACATTCTACGGTTGGCCAACTTTGGATTATGGCGGCCTAAAACAAAAAAAATCAATTTCAGAACTGAAAAAAAATATTAAAATTAAATCTAATGCTCACCAAGAAGTATTCCCGAGGTTTGCCCGACATCAGAGAATCTACGAAGTTTGTGTGGCCGGCCTTGAAGCTGATTTACTCTCTAAAGCACAATACAGTACAGTTCAGTGCAGTGCAGTGCAGTGCAGTGCAGTGCAGTGCAGTGCAGTGCAGTGCAGTGCAGTACAGTACGGTACAGTACAGTACAGTACAGTACAGTACAGTACAGTACAGTACAGTACAATACAGTAAATTACAATACAGTAAACTACAGTATAGTACAATACAGTAACTTACAATACAGTAAATAACAGTACAGTAAAGTACAGTAAATTACAGTACAGTAAAGAACAGTAAAGTAAAGTACAGTAAAGTACAGTACAGTAAAGTACAGTACAGTAAAGTACAGTACAGTAAAGTACAGTACAGTAAAGTACAGTACAGTAAAGTACAGTACAGTAAAGTACAGTACAGTAAAGTACAGTACAGTAAAGTACAGTACAGTAAAGTACAGTACAGTAAAGTACAGTACAGTAAAGTACAGTACAGTAAAGTACAGTACAGTAAAGTACAGTACAGTAAAGTACAGTACAGTAAAGTACAGTACAGTAAAGTACAGTACAGTAAAGTACAGTACAGTAAAGTACAGTACAGTAAAGTACAGTACAGTAAAGTACAGTACAGTAAAGTACAGTACAGTAAAGTACAGTACAGTAAAGTACAGTACAGTAAAGTACAGTACAGTAAAGTACAGTACAGTAAAGTACAGTACAGTAAAGTACAGTACAGTAAAGTACAGTACAGTAAAGTACAGTACAGTAAAGTACAGTACAGTAAAGTACAGTANAGTAAAATCTGGGAAGATTAGATAGAAACATGTTCACAATTATCTGGATTTTTACATCAGCAAAATCTGGGAAGATTAGATCGAAACATGTGCACAATTATCTGGATTGCTGTCATAGTCGTAATTTTCAGTAACCCTTTATTTATAGAGCTGCAAATTCGATTCACAACTGTACCCTTAAAAGCTCCAGGATTTTCCTTTTAAAAATTGTTGATTTTCAATTGTGGTTACGACGATATCTTCCATATCATGATGAGACAAGGGTTTATAGGGTACTCTTATTAAAATAAATCCTTCAATTTAAAAGTTTAAGCTGTGAATATTGTGTTGAGTCCATGTAAATGAGCGCTATTCCAATTCCCAACTTGAAATTTAGGTCATTATTTCACGGGAAACCTGATATGGGGCGAGGGGAGGAGTGCAGAAGTCCTCAATTTGTAATCACCGCCACCCAAACATGTTTTGCGGCATGCGCGCTCCTCAATTTGTAATCAACATAAAATCTTGTTTTTGAGATTTTAATTTAATGCATTTTTAACACAGTATTCTTTGACTGTAGGTTGACTGTAAATAATAATAATAATTATCGGGGTTTCATGGCATATGTATTGACTTAAACTAAATTTACAATTGGGTTGGTCAACAAAAACTGAGAAACAAGGCATAGATTATTTGAGCCGAATCTTAGATCCAATTCGCCAATTTAATGACTGCATTTGATGATTGAAGTTAAGATTCTAAAAGGAAGGGTTGCCTGTTTACTAAAATTTATCTCACCCCGAGCAAAGTAATATCATCTCCATTTAAAAGATATTTTCAAAAAACCTTTGAAGTGTTTAGATTTTTGTATTCGCCTACTCGAGTTCAACATCTACAACAAAACTAATTACATGGATAGAAAGAACAGAAAATTTTGAAAGATCAGTCTCATCCCGACCACTAGTGAAATAAAGTATCAAGTTCACTAATTATTTCTAGTGCTTCATGTGGCACATATAAAGATTTATTTTCGAAATAAACAACAAAAGAAAAAGCTTTAAAAATATTGTACACCAAAGGACCTTTGAAAGAGGTCAATATGGTCTTATTTCATAGAAATAAACGATTTCATGTTAACATTTTTATTCCTGATTACAAATTGAGGTGGCGGAGATTACAAATTGAGGAGCGCGCATGCCGCAAAACACGTTTGGTTGGCGATGCTTACAAATTGAGGACTTCTGCCCTCCCCCCTTGTTAATCCCAGGGGCCGGGTTTTAATTTTCATTGATTCTTATTTTACTGAGAGAAAATGATAGGATTAAATACCTAATTAACGTTTGGGAATTTCCAGGCAGAAGTTTTGCTTTGTCCTGGCGCTGAATCTCCTGAATATTTATGATAGTAATATTGTAATATTTAATCCTTTGATATCGTTACAATCCCAGACATAAATCCTAGGGAAATCAAGATCAATCCTTGTCCCTCATCTTTGAAGGTTAATACAAGACTTCACTTTCATTCCCAGTACCAATCCATAATTCACCCAAACCTCTCATCTTGTGTATAATATCTATCTCTCAAGGTCTTGAATAAGTGGGCTTATCAATCTACATTTTATTGGTACAAATATATCTGTTAATATCTATTTATATTAAACCATATTCCATATATCTGTAGAGTCCCTCAGGGGTAAGACAAGTCTCCACTAGCTCTTAAATAGGAAGAGTCCCTCAGCGGTAAAGCAAGTCTCCACTAACTCCTATGTAGGAAGAGTCCCTCAGCGGTAAGATAAGTCTCAACTAGCTCTTATATAGGAAGAGTCCCTCAGTGGTAAAGCAAGTCTCCACTAACTCCTATATAGGAAGAGTCCCTCAGCGGCTAAGCAAGTCTCCACTAACTCTTATATATGAAGAGTCCCTCAGTGGTAAAGCAAGTCTCCACTAACTCTTATATATGAAGAGTCCCTCAGTGGTAAAGCAAGTCTCCTCTAACTCCTATAGAGAAAGAGTCCCTCAACGGCTAAGCAAGTCTCCACTAACTCTTATATATGAAGAGTCCCTCAGTGGTTAAGCAAGCCTCCACTGACTCTTATATATGGAGAGTCCCTCAGTGGTTAGGCAAGTTCCCACTGACCCTTATGTAGGAAGAGTCCCTCGGTAGTTCATCTGAGCCTCTGTTCCCTGCTGAGCTAGATGTGGTCTCAGCTGATCCTTCTATAGATAATATAACTGGTGATCTCCTGATCAATCCTAGCTATCTATCAATCTGCTTCAGACCTATGATCTTCTCCTGTGATACTTGTAATTGGTGATTTATGATCATCCTAGTTCTCTGTCAATCTGCTGTAGATCTATGATCTCATACTTGCAGTTCTCCTGTGGTTCATATAGCTGGTGATCTTTGTGATCCATCCTAGCTCTCTATCAATCTGCTCTGGATCTCTGGTCTCCACAGTATCTGCAGTATCCTCCATATCTGCAGTATCCTTCATATCTGCAATATCTGCAGTATCCTTCATATCTGCAATATCTGCAGTATCCACATTATCTGTAGTCTGCTCTGCATCTCTGTTGATCTACAGTCTGCTCTATATCTCCGTGATCTATTGGATGCTCTGCATCTCGATTGATCTCCCATCTACTTGATATCTCCTTGATCTGTAGGATGCTCTGCATCTCGGTTGTTCTCCCATCTACTTGATGTCTCCTTGATCTGTTGGATGCTCTGCATCTCGATTGAGCTCCCATCTACTTGATATCTCCTTGATCTGTAGGATGCTACGCATCTCTGTTGATCTCCCATCTAATTGTTATCTCCCTGATCTGTAGGATGCTCTGCATCTCGGTTGATCTCCCATCTCATTGATATCTCTTTGATCTATAGGATGCTATGCATCTCGGTTGATCTCCCATCTAATTGATATCTCTTTGATTTGTAGGATGCTCTGCATCTCAGTTGATCTCCCATCTACTTTATAGATCCTCATGATCTCCTTTCACCTGGATTCATTGGCCTGTATTATCTTCTGAGTCCACAGTGTTTCTAACCATAGAAACACCTGGAATATTAGAGGGTTTAGGGAGTTGAACCAGCTGTATAGAGGTGGAACTACATTGCTCTGATTCTATTATCCATTCTATAGTTCCAGCAATCCTCGGAGCCTTTAGTGTTTCTAACCATAGGAACACCTGGGATATTAGAGTGTGTAGGTAGTTGAACCAGCTGTACTGAGGTGGAACCACATATCTCTGATTCTACTGTAAACCTGAGATATCTATCTCATCAATGGTTTATTCCTCTGATCTGTTGTAACCTGAGATATCTGTCTCATCAATGGTTTATTCCTCTGATCTGTTGTAACCTGAGATATCTGTCTCATCAATGGTTTCTTCCTCTGATCTGTTGTAACCTGAGATATCTGTCTCATCAATGGTTTATTGTATTCCTGAAGATATGATCATATAAGATAAATCATGTAAGTCCACATGTTTTAAGCCTTCTTAGAGCTATCCATGAAGTGTCCCCCAGCCTCGTTTTAACAAACGGAGCTTGGCTCATACGTCTGTTCTATTCAAGGATCTGGGGTGCACTGTTGAATCTTAATGAATCAGTTCAGGTTAACTACTCCGCATTCATTAAAAGAACAAAGAGATAAAGGTGTGAGGCTGGGGGAGGTTTTTAGCATGAGTCACCTATACTTTAAATATTACAATATTATTAACATCTGTCAATCTATCAATCGTTAGAAATAATTTCATTTAAATTAAGCTCATTTAATTGTGAATTCATAAGTAATTAACATTATTCTAAAATGCTAAAGATTACCCAAAACCTATGGTACTTCAGAGATGAAGATTCTAAGAAGTATGTAATGAACTGTAAGCTTAATTTCAAGTAACCCTCCATGCAAAGATGACAATGCCCGATTCACAATGGTACTCTTAAAACCTTAATCTAATTAACCTAAAATGTAGTTTTGCTAGGGGTTAAAGTGTTTAATTCTGATAACTCCTGTTTGTTTTCCTGCACTAGAAATCCGCAAGTCACTTTTGTAGAGAAACCAAAAAAGAAATTAATCAGTTTTCAAAATCATACTTGATCAGCCCAAGATTTTAAGGGTACCATTGCCATCTTTGTAGTTTGCATGGAAAGCAAGTTGAGGTTACGTTTACGGTCAATCTGAGTAAAAGTATGTTTTTGGAAATCTTATCCTTTTGTTAAGTGTTAGAAATATCAAAGACTAGATGAAGTGCACGGCGTTGCCCGTGGAAAAAATCAGAATTTTGTCAAGAAAAAAAGTTCATTTTTTTAGCCTATGTTACCCACAAGATTCCCAGAGCTTTCCTCAAATTTTTTTAGCCAATTCGGTCCAACCCTTTGGCCAGCTAAAGCTAACATTTATAAAATTATTTATATATAAATTATGCATGTATATATATATATATATATAATATATATATATACATATATGTAGATAACAAAAGAAACAATAACTCTTATCAAACACTAGAAATTAGCTTCAAATTTTAGTTCAATCGGACCGAACATGCAATGGTTGGGTAAAATATAATTTTTAAATATTATAAAAAAAACAAAACAATGGTAGAATTGTGAACAAAACTTAAGGAAACCCTAAAACAGTTAAACCAACTACATTGATTAATTTTTTAAAGAATAATTTTGTAATGCATGAGAACAAAAACATTTATTATGAAAGCATTTATTGTAAAGACAACTTAAAATATATTTTTGTTTCACAGTGCATCTTTTTAAAAAATAAAATATCTGATAAGGAAAACTTTGAAAGAAAAATTTCAAAGACTTGGAAGAAAGATTAAAAATTGCAAATGGGCATCAATTGACAATTTTTCCCTATGGTTGAAAAGGCATTTATACGCCAATTAAGCCAAGAAAAAAAACTTCAAAAATGTGCAGATTTACAGGGGAAAAATTATTTCTGAAAAGGGAAGGGGGATGGGTGGGGTGATATTTCTAGTTAAAATATACCCTTGGATTTCTATTTCGTACCTTGGCTAGTTCTTGACTCTCTGAGAGGTTGGATGTGAGAGGGGCACTCTCTGATCCTGCTAGAATACAAACTCTGTCCTAAAAATTAAACAAACCAAATTGACAAATATTTTATTATATAGAAATTTCTTTTTTGAAGAAATGATAAAGTAAACATGTTTTGAAATTTACCATTAAAATCGGAAGCTTTTTTTTGAAATATTGAGAAATTATAAATTATTGAATATTTAGTTTTCACCTTGACAAAAGGATGCAAAGCCAACTCAGGCCAGTTCAATCTTTTCCTACTTTCCTTCTCTAGAACTCCTTGAAGGAAGCTTCTACTTTCCACCGATAGGTGAGCAGGCCACTGTATACTTTCATATCTAACCAATAGAGGGAGTTAAACTTTTAAATCTAACCCATAGAGGGTGTTAAACTTTAAAATCTAACCAATAGAGGAAGTTAGACTTTTAATTCTAACCAATAGGGGAAGTTAAACTTTTAAATCTAACCAATAGAGGAAGTTAAACTTTCAAATCTAACCAATAGAGGAAGTTAGACTTTTAAATCTAACCAATAGAGGGAGTTAAACTTTTAAATCAAACCAATAGAGGGAGTTAAACTTTTAGATCTAACCAATAGAGGAAGTTAGACTTTTAAATCTAACCAAAAGAGCGAGTTAATTTTTTAAACCTAACCAATAGAGGAAGTTAGACTTTTAAATCTAACCAATAGAGGAAGTTAACCTTTTAAATCTAACCAATAGAGGAAGTTAAACTTTTAAATCTAACCAAGAGAGGGAGTTAAACTTTTAAATCTAACCAATAGAGGAAGTTAAACTAACCAATAGAGGAAGTTAACCTTTTAAATCTAACCAAGAGAGGGAGTTAAACTTTTAAATCTAACCAATAGAGGAAGTTAAACTTTTAAATCTAACCAATAGAGGAAGTTAAACTTTTAATAGAGGGAGTTAAACTTTTAATAGAGGGAGTAAAACTTTTAATCTCCTGTTCAACAATATAACCAACCTTTAATTCCCTCCTTTTTTATTTCCAGGGAGGATAATTACTTATCCTCCCCATTTACAGGGAGGATAATTACTTATCCTCCCTCTTTACAGGGAGGATAATTACTTATCCTCCCTGTGATCCATACAGATTTATCATATAAATATTTCTCTAATTCAATTTTATATTTACATTTATCGCTCTCTCAATTAATTTTAATTAAAATAGTTGAAACAAGTAAACTACACGTACACCTAGTTTAATATTTGATCTAGGAAAGATCAAAACATGTACATACAGCTTTACTGAGCTGTCATCAAATATATTATATTTCATCATTCTTTTCGGGTTTACATAATTACATTGTAAAGTTGTTCCCATGAAAATGTTCGATAATTATTATTTTGTCTGCATTTTGAATCACATATAGGGCTTTCTACTCTGAGGAGGTGAAGCTGAGGAACATGTTTCAATATTCTCTATACTGACTTCGCTAACCTCTGTTTTTTCTACTTGATTAGAAGGTCCTTGAAGTTTATCAGCCATTGATTTTACAGAAGCTTTGCTGGATGATACACATTCTTGAGGCATGCTCGGATTAGACCATCCATAAAAATCCATAAGCTGTTGAACGGATGCTCCGCTGTCAGCTGCTGCTGCGGCGGACAAGCGTCGTAGAGAATGAAATGTAAAAGATACTGGATTATCTAGACCAAGAACTGTTGCCATTTTACATGGCACTTTACTTACAAGATTTTTCCCCATATGCTGGTCAGCATATGCAGCAGGAGTACCCTTAAAAAATACACGACCCCTGAAATGACCAAGGCTACATATAATCACGTTCAGATAATCATCAATAACAGCTGCAAAATTTACTGGCCCATCGTTAGGAACTAGGAACTTGGTTTCCTTCTTGTCTGAGCGCTGTTTCGACCTACAATGTGTTACAAGCATCCCATCATTCTTTTTCACCATCTTCTCAATTTGAAGGTCCATCAACTCCACAATCCACATTACGAAGCCCTCCAAAGTATGCTAGAATGATTATGACCTAAAAAAATATGAATAAATCTTATCTGTCATACTCAATCTTTAATTTAAATATAAATTCAGGAACAAATATTTGTTTGCAAGAATCAAAATCAACAATATTTGTTAAAAAACAACTTATTTTTCTTGATTGTACTATGTAATATTAATCTATTGTGCAATGTACAAGGTTACCCACAAAGATTGAAAATGCAGATACAACTATAAAAAAGTTTTTTCCTGATTTCCTGAAGCTATAAACATTTTTTATCAACTGATATGTAACTTAATTAAAGACTTTTTCCAAGAATCCATTTAAACCTTTTTTTGAATTTAAAGTTTTAGGTCCTAAATAAAGTCTCTTCCTTTTAAGGTGACCATGTTTAGTGTTATCTATTGATTTATATCAATTTACAGACAATTCTTTTTCAATTTAGTTCTTACCTTTCTTCTATAATCCGGCTTTAAAAGCTCAAGAGCAGATTTGAGATCAATGATGGATGACATGTTAATGGTACGGAAGCTCTTTCTTGAATGAGAAGTTTCTGAATTTCTATACATCTTTTGCGAAGTTTTCACAAAAATGTTGCAAAGTTTTCACAAAAATATTGAGAAATTTAGAAACCCAATTACTATTTTTAGAAATCAATAAATTTGCTTATTAAATATTTTTCCATATGCATTGTAAGATATAGGAGAATTAAAATCATAACTGATAGTTTTATTGATTTCATTATTATTTTATCCCCCACGGTTGGTTATTTTGTTGAACAGGAGATTAAACGATAAATTACTACTTAACCGGGAGTTTTCATGAGGATAAATAAATTGAGGGGAAAACCACTTAACCTTGGGCCTCCTCGACCTTTTTGGGGTTCTAAACCTCCCTCACTACGCTCGTGAGGTTTAGAACCCCAAAAAGGTCTTGGAGGCCCTCGGCTAAGTGGTTTTCCCCTCAATTTAATTATCCTCCCTTAATCTCCCGGTTAATTAGTAATTAATAGTTATAATAGAGGAAGTTAAACTTTTAAATCTAACCAATAGAGGAAGTTAAACTTTTAAATCTAACCAAGAGAGGAAGTTAAACTTTTAAATCTAATCAATAGAGGAATTTAGACTTTTAAACCTAACCAATAGAGAAAGTTAAACTTTTAAATCTAACCAAGAGAGCGAGTTGAGCTTTTAAATCTAACCAATAGAGGAAGTTAGACTTTTAAATCTAACCAATAGATGAAGTTAAACTTTTAATCTAACCAATAGAGGGAGTTACACTTTTAAATCTAACCAATAGAGGGAGTTAAACTTTTAAATCTAACCAATAGAGGAAGTTAAACTTTTAAATCTAACCAAGAGAGGAAGTTAAACTTTTAAATCTAACCAATAGAAGGAATTGAATTGTTAGTAAAGCCAATGTATGGGGCTAAAATCATTCTCAGTCAAGACAACTTTTGATCCCAAGTTCTTCCCGACCATTCTTCTGGAAAAGAGAAAATTCCCTTGATTGTAAAATTCCAGGTAAGGTTAGGAAGGTCGGGTTAAGACAGATATATCATCACAGAAAGTTTCTATTTTTTTCTAAAAGAAGGGCTACAGAGGTCCATAGAATATTTGTTAAGAAATTACCCACTTTTGTCTAAAAATAACTGAGAAATATTTAATGTTAAAGATGCTTTACCAAAGATTTGTTTGATCCAATGCATTACATTGCCATGCAACCAAAGTCCACATAAAAAGAAAGATAAAATTAAATTTTTAGTTGATAAAGAAGTTTAGGAAACATGCTCATTGGAATTCAAACAAAACTTGTAATTTTAATTGATTTTTCAGACATAATTTCTGTACGTTAATTTTCTATCTTATTAATAGTTAGCAAGTTAATCAATTTATCCGTCAAGATTATCAATCATATTTATCAACGAATTAATATCTTTAATTATTCACTTGTTCGTTAATAATAATCGAGTATTAATCGATTATTTATCAACAACAAATTATCAATTTTGTAATAAATTTGCGTTTATAAAGCCAAATAAATTTAAACAAACTATTTAATTCCCAAAACTAGGTTGAACAAATTAAGATGATGTAACTTAAAAAAAGGGAAGGTGCAATATATTCACATGTATCCTTTTCCTTGCTCCCGAATTCAGCATTAAAATCTCCAAGAAAATTCAGCGCCAACATTCCCAAAATTTTGTTTTGTATTAGGCTGGTGTAATCTGGGTTCTAGCCCTAAAACCAAACTAACCTTATTTTTTTTATTAGCTGAAAAAGTGAAGAGGTGGAGAATGGCGGATAACCAGTTAAAAGTTCATATACAATACATCCTTTAAAAAATAAATAGAAATATAAAAACAAAAAAACCCAGCAGTTTCTTTTAACAATTTTTACAATAACAAAGTAAGGGTAAACTATTTAATTGTGAGTGAATGTTAAATCCTTTTTGCACCATAAATAAATCATACAGTAACAAATTCACACCAACATTTATAATTTTTTTTTTGAAAATTAACTCTCTTTCAGTATTTAATGATTTTTAAAAAGTGAGATCATGAGGGACGGTAGATTTATCCAATATTTCATAACATGTTGATTGTTGATATTGGTATCAAAGGATGCACCTTAAACTGCTGAATATCGTTCATTTTTCCGTTTATCGATGTTCCAAAAAAGTTTTATTTAAGGCTAAAAAACAATTTTTTTGTACTTTGACAAATATATTTCAAAAATAAAAAGTTTTTGCCTATAATTTTCTAATGTTTTAAAGGGATTTTACGAAATGATCGTTTCTGAACTAATCTTGATTTATTTTTATTTTTTCTGGCTTACAAAAAAAACAAATCCCTGAATGAGTTTGAAAGTTTTAAAAACAAAAATTCTCAAACATGTTTTTAAAATGTATCAAAGATAACTTCGGAACTAGTGCAAGGTGAATTATATAATTTTTATCAAAAATGTGATTATTTAACTGATTGAAATGTGACTAATTACAAAATTGTATTACCTAGCGACCAAATATCTGCTGTGTGATCGTATGGTTTTTCCTCAATGAGCTCAGGTGCCATGTACAGTGGTGTACCCTAGACATAATACAGTACAGTACCTGCACCATGGAGTACCAACCTCTACATAATGTAGTACATGTTAAGTGGTGTAACCAGCAGTACAGTACATGTTAAGTGGTGTAACAATAGACGTAATATAGCTTAGCATGTGTAAAGTGGTGAACCACATATTGTAGTGCAGTACATGTCTAGTGGCGTACACATAGCCATAATGTACAGTACATGCACAGTTCATGTTCAGTGGTGTCCTGTGCACATGTGCACATGTGCATTTGTGCAGTTGTTTACCAAATATAATACACAACTAGTCACTTAAAGATGTCAGCACAAAAGTTTGTACTCTAGCTTATTACCTTTATAGATGTCTGCACTATAACCTGTACTCTAGCTTTCTACCTCTATCTTGTTTGCTTAATAGTCTGTACTCTAGCTATCTACCTTTATACTGTGAGCTTTCTAACTTTCAGTGTTTCGGATGCGGATCCGGTCGGATCCGTATCATTTGGTCGGATCCGGATCCGGATCCGTATCAGAGTCAGGATCCGGATCCGGATCCGCATCAAAATGATACGGATCCGAAACATTGCTAACTTTATAGACTTTAGCATTATAGTCTTAACTCTAGCTTTCTACCTTTATAGGGGTCGACACTTTATAGTCTTAACTCTAGCTTTTTACCTTTTAAGATGTCAGCACTATAGTCGGTGTTCTAGCTTTCTACCTTTATAGCTGTCAGCGCCAGAGTTTGTACTTAAGCTGTCAACCTTTTAAATGTAAGCACCAGAGTTTGTACTCTAGCTTTCTACCGTTATAGATGTCACCAACAGAGTTTGTTCTCTATAATTCTACCTTTATAGATGTCAGCAATATAGTCTGTGCTCTAGACTCTACCTTAATAGATGTCAGCACTATATAGTCTGTGCTCTAGCTTCTAGCTTAATAGATGTCAGCCCTATATTCTGTGCTAAAGCTTCTACCTTTATAGATGTGAGCGCTAAAATAATCTGTGCTCTAGCTTGTACCTTTATAGATGTCAGCACTATAGTCTGTGCTCTAGCTTCTACCTTTATAGATGTCAGCTCTATAGTCTGTGCTCTAGCTTCTACCTTTATCGTTGTCAGCACTATAGTCTGTGCTCTAGCTTCTACCTTTATAGATGTCAGCACTATATAGTCTGTGCTCTAGTTTCTACCTTTATGGATGTCAGCACTATATAGTCTGTGCTCTAGTTTCTACCTTTATGGATGTCAGCACTATAGTCTGAGCTCTAGCTTCTACCTTTATAGATGTCAGCACTATATAGTCTGTGCTCTAGCTTCTACCTTTATAGATGTCAGCACTATATAGTCTGTGCTCTAGTTTCTACCTTTATGGATGTCAGCACTAAAGTGTGAACTCCTAGATTTCGCGCAAATCCAAAATCGCAAAGTTTGGCACGTCCATTGCTACAAATATGAAAAAATTAAAGTTATTTTTTAGCCATTCCCCTGTCCAATAGCCATGAATTTGAAAGGAGGAATGCTATTATCATCAAATGTAAGAAATCTAAAGCAGAAAGAAGTACAGTTAAATGCTTCTTTAAAAATCTGTGTGAATTTTTACGCTAAATTAGATGATCCAATATCATAAGGGGAAAGTTCTAAAGCGTATGAGATTTCATTTGACAAATACAAATTAAAATGATTTTTGTAATTTATTAAAAACAAATTGAAATAAATGACTCAAGTTTATCTATTATACCATACCTATCCAGTAAAATGTTCTGTGGCTTTATATCTCTGTAATCAAAATAAACATCTTAGAAAATTAAAATTCTAAATTTTAAATTTAAAATTCTGCAAGATGGAGATCAATGCTTGATCCTGAAATTCACAATATAAAACTTCAGACTTTTTCAGATCTCTTTTTCCTTAGTAAAGGGAGTGTTCGCACAAAAATGAAAGGGGTTATAGGCTTAATGCGATAAAAAAGCGCTTTTGATCGCTACTAATCTTACTTCTATCTGTTGCGTCTATAAGGAGAAAATTGTTAAAAACGACTCACACCGAAGAACGTAGTGTCCAAACAAATTCAGAAAGATGCAACATTCAATTCGGATCGTAAACAAATCAATTTAATTTCAAACAAATCATTCAGATATTACAAACAGTAGTCATCGATTATTTTTCGACGCATTCGCATATAGTTAATATGTCATAATATTTTTGATTTTGTTTTTTTTAAAATAATTTTCGCTGGCGCTGGATTTTCAAACATTCCTGGAAAATATGAAAATGTCGTCTTCATTATCAAAAATCCTCGAAATTGAAAAATAACTCTGAGATACAAAATATTATGAAATATCAACTATTTACGAATGCGTCGAAAAATAATCGATGTCGACAATTGTTTGTAATATCTGAATGATTTGTTTGGAATAAAATTGATTTGTTTACGATCCGAGTTGAATGTTGCATCTTTCTGAATTTGTTTGGACACTACGTTCTTCGGTATTAGTCGTTTTTAACAATTTTCTCCTAAGAGACGCAACAGATAGAAGTAAGATTAGTAACGATCAAAAGCGCCTTTTGATCGCATTAAGCCTATACCCCCTTTCATTTTTCGCGAACACTCCCTTTAAGCTATTTTCATTTCATGTTTAATATTTGTATACATTTTGTCAAATTTTTTGTATTATTAATATAATGTTTTCATATATGATTGATAAGTACAATTTTGTTGGTTTTCGTATGTGTTTGTTCCTGTGAAGTATTCTATGAGAATGAAGATAGTGTAATGCAGAGAGTAGATCACCACAAATCTCCTTAAATTAGTTGGATAATAATTAATTCTTGTTAATTTTTTAATCAATTCAAACTCTAATAATTTTTATAATAATAAAATTTTAAGCAGTTTCTGACAATTTTAGTTTTAGTGCAGTGGTAGGCGATTATATCAATTAATGAAAACAACTTTCGATTTAAATTTTGATTTATATTAATATTATTGATTTATATTTTATCATTAAAAAAAGCTTTTACACAATCAACTTAAAAACTTAAATAAAATGTCGTCTTCATTGTATTGTCATAATCGCTTAACACTATATAAAGCATCATTTTTAAATTGTCTTAAATTCCTTTAAAACTATTAAAATATTTGAAGGGTTTGTGATTTTCAAGGGCCCCCTCTCCCCCTCTACTCAAAGTACGGGATACGACCCTTTAATACAAATTTATATGAGTAACGTTAACAAAGAACTTTCTGACAATTTTCTAAATAGTCTCTGCAACCCAAATTAAAAGTAATCAAATTTGACAAGGAAAAACAAGGAAATCTACGTCATCATCGATCAGACGACGAGTACATACTAAAAAATAAATAAATGGAAGTCAACTGAAAATTCCGTCGATAGTACCATTTAGGATTTATCTATACAAACCTGAACCCGTTCTTCTGGTAACCTTCTGTAACCCATTTCCAGCTTGTAAAGATCAAATAACCTGGATATAGATATAACTTTAGTTTACAACCCATCCAACACTTTATATTCTAGGTTCACTCTTTCCTACCTATATTCTACAGTCGTCGTCGTATGTATCAATACAATAAAGGCGACTTTCGATTTCAATTTTGATTTCAAACCAAGTTTCAAACATGGCTACACATATACATGGACACAAAGATAAGCTTCTTTGTTTACTTGTAAACTTGTAATGGAAAAAAAGCTTATTATAAATGAAAAATCAAATCAAGAAGTTGTCTTTATTGTATTGTTATTAACGCTAACTTCAGTAGGCGCATTCTGTATTTGTATTCTATGAGTAAATTTAACTACATGTTTTCACCAAAAATATCCTTAATTTTCCTTATATATAAAGTTCACCAGGAATACCCCTGCCTTTTATAACCTGTAAAATTCACCAGGAATACCCCTGCCCTTTATAACCTGTAAAATTCACCAGGAATACCCCTGCCCTTAATAACCTGTAAAATTCACAAGGAATGCCCATACCCCATATAACCTGTAAAGTTCACCAGGAATAAACTCCGCGACACTTATCAATTCTTTCTCAGTTTCAAAAGCATCCAACATTCTACAGCACAAGTTCTTAAACCTTTATATGATTTCCGAACCTCTGATAAAAAAACCCCCTGAAAATTGACAGTCTTTTATCTCAATAACTTTCTCAGAATTAATTGTCTTCTATAATCGACTGAATTTATATCTGTCATAATATTCTAATTATCATAAGCAATATAACAAAATTACAAGGCTAACAAATTTTCCTAACTATGTTGGGATGACTGAGCTCTTTTTGAATCTTGAACTCTGATCTCAGAGACGAAATTTCTTTTTCCGAGTGACCAACCTAAATAATAATAATTCAATGATATTAAAAAATTAATAGTCCAATTTGTGTTGTGCTGATGATATAGAATAATGTTTTTTTTAAATTTCATTAATTAATAAGTAATTGATAATTAATTGATAAAATTTCTATATACCCATTTACTGGTATCTTAACCTAACTTTTTCAGTGGTCTGCGGTCTGCAGAAGTAGTTAATTTCCTAGTATACGATTTTTGACATATCAATTTTGTACATGTATCTCATATGGATATTGTTCTTGTGGCCGCAGTGCCCGGCCCCCTTGCCTGTCCTAACCTCGGCCCTCTAGCCGCAGCGCTCGGGCCAGAAAGTGTCTTAGCCTTACATAACCAATAAATACTAATTGTGTTGAAAATTGTTGAAATTGAACGTCTGTTTTGGCCGCAGCGCTCGACCCAGAATTAGAAATAGATAACAATAGTTTTGCTTAAAAACAAGTGTTCATGTACAAAATTGATAGGAGAGGGGGGGGGTCCAAAAATCGCCGCGTAGCCGGACCCGACAAGAAAACGGAAACCCCCCCCCCCCTGTCCCATCTCCTTCTTGGTGTTTACACACAAACCTGCATTTTAAAAAATTTAATAAATAAATGGTTGTACCTTCGGTATCAATTTCAATGCCACCGTCTGTCCCGTGTCTCGTTCAACTGCTTTGAATACTCGGCCAAATGATCCTTCACCGATCATTTCGATCACTTTAAACCGATCCATTGTAATATATTATTAATATTTGTAATTGTGACTTTTATGTTCAAAACGCACGCACAAAACAGTTCAAATAATTTATAACTCTTTCCTTCTAGAATTCTTGTAAAACATTGTATGATAATGATTGCTTTTGGTTTTATGCAGCTATCATCATGTTTTATGTTTGTTTAGATCTGGGAGTTCACTATGAACATGAGAGAGTACACCTGTACGCTGTGGGGCCTAGGGCAAGCAAGGCAAAGAATGACCTAGGTCAATAAAAACCGGTTTCTTTTCCCCAGAAAAATCTGCACAAATGAAACAAAGAGTGTAAAGTCATTTTAAATTTCTTTCTTAGACAAAATGGTGAAGTTTTGAAATGTCTGATGTGAAACTATTTCGAATTTTAAAACGTTGAATTTTACTTACATAAAAAAAATAATCAAAACTTTCTACTTAAATCAACGACGATTGCAATTTAATTTGTGATAAAGGCGACATTCCTAAGTAGACATCTTTATTTTTTTCTGAAGGAAAGCTGTCGCCATGTTTAAATATTCTTCCCAAAATTTATTACCAATTTATTTTGTAAAATATTTTTAAAACATTAAAATAATCATTTTAAAATAAAATAAAATGTAGAGAAAAAAATTATTTGAGTCTGAAGCATTGCATTTTTTGTTATCTAGACTCGAATGTCAGTGCTCTAGACTCGAATATGTAATATCAGCTGAGTGAATTTAGTATTTTAGGCTCGTGTTTTATCACTTTTAGAAATAAAAATAAAATTTATTTACATGATTTTACTGTGATAACCGTTTGCGAAGTCAAGCATGGTTATTTTATATTTATGTTGATGCCATGGTGATTTGATTTATTGTCATGTAGAAATTTTATTGGAAGCTCTTCTTTATTTTATATTTGTTTGATCAGCAAATTTTTATATTGTATACTCTATTTGAGGAGCACCATTTATTTTCTATTATACAAATAATATTATTATTCAGCTGGATACAATGTCTCTGTTGAAACGCCTTTTGCCCGCCGCCGCCGGTCCTTGCCGCCGTAACATGTCAGACATTAGGACTGTTACTCTCATTCCAGGAGACGGAATTGGTAAGCCTAGCTGAAAGGGACTGAATACTTTGGATTGTAATTATTTTTAATGCCCTTTCATCGAACCTTTTAAAACCTGTTTTGAGGAAGATATTATTTAAAAAATGATTGACAATGTACATTTTCTTTATTACAGTACAAATCTTTTGGAAACCACAGTACAAACATTCAATTTTCAGACAAGGAATTAAGGATATTTTATCTGCAGGGTTCTCAAGTTATGAGTTCATCAAGGCGAAACTTTCAATCATAAACTACCCTTGGATTTGCTCGAAAATGTTTCGTTTCATTTCAATTGGGTGTCCAAAATGCGCTCAATTAAAGGAAATTAGTTAACATTTAATTTGCCTTCCCCACATACTTAAATTAAAGTTTTAAAATAATTTGGTTAAGATTAATTTTTATTGCAGGCCCTGAAATTGCAGTAGCTGTCCAAAAGATCTTTGCGGCTGCCGAAGTTCCGATTGCCTGGGAACCTGTTGATGTTGCTCCGATCAGAAATGCCGACGGAACAATGGGAATTCCCCAGGTGATAAACTCAGTCCATGTTTTTTTGTTGTTGTATTTTTCAAGGTTTTGTCCTTAGTTTCATGTATATACCCTACTATTCATGATTTTGTCCTTAATTTCATGTACAATGTACATTACCTGCTCTTCATAATTTTGTCCTTAAGTTTCAATTCCTACTAATACTATTCATATTTTGTCCTTAATTTCATGTACTATGTACAATACCTGCTCTTCTGATTTTGTCCTTAATTTCATGTACTATGTACAATTCCTACTAATACTATTCATGATTTTGTCCTTAATTTCATGTACTATGTACAATTCCTACTAACACTATTCATGATTTTGTCCTTAATTTCATGTACTATGTACAATTCCTACTAATACTATTCATGATTTTGTCCTTAATTTCACGTACTATTTACAATCCTTATTTTTCATAATTTTGTACCAAGTTTCATGCTTTTCGTGATTTTATCCTACTTTTCATGTTTGTACCCTAATTTTCAATGTTCCGCAAGATTTTGGCTTCCTGGATCCGGATCCAAGGGGTAAAAAACCAACCAAAAACTGCAAAAAAAAAAACGCTTTTTTACTCATAAACTCAAATTTGAACCTATGAAAAAAGAGTGATTATAAAAATTTCCTCATTTCTGAATGGTTCATAAAGGTTTAGGATAAAAATAAGCGAAAAAAAAATAAAACAAAAAATTTTTTAATTATTTTTTTAAATAAAAATTTAGTAAATCTTAAAGATCCGGATCCGGACTATTTTTTCCAGTGCGGATCCAGGATCCGGATCCGCATCAAAATTAAATGGATCCTAAGCACTGCTACTTTTATGTTTATATCCTACTTTTTATGTTACAATTATATTCTTCTTTTCATGTGTATGTCCTATTTTTCATTTTAATACTCTATTAGTTAAAATTTGCATACTTTATTATTATCGTGTACTTTGAATTTAAAAGGTAAATATCTTGTTTCTCAGGCCGCCATTGACTCCGTTAACCGCAACAAGATCGGATTAAAGAGTCCCCTGATGACCCCTATTGGCAAGGGTTTCAGGTCCCTTAACCTGCAGTTGAGGAAGGAGTTCAACTTGTACGCAAACGTACGTCCCTGCAAGTCCATTGAGGGGTTCAAGACATTGTATGATGATGTGGATGTTGTCACAATCAGGAAACAAATTCATTTTTCATTGATTTTTCCTCATTTTTAAAATATTATAAAATTTATGTTTGGTTAATTATTTTACAATGGGCCCGTAGAACTAGGACTTTGGAAGAGTAAATGTAAGCCATCTTATTTTTACGTTTTGACTTTCGTGTTGGTAGTGCTCAAATATCTGAGGACCCGGATCCATTGAATCCGCAAGATTTTCGCTTCCTGGATCCGGATCCGCTAAAATATGCGGATCCACGAATCTGAATCCAAGGGGCAAACTGAAGAAAAAAAACACGTTTTATTCTCATGCCCCAAATCTGAACTGTTTAAAAAAGGAGATAATAAAATTTCCCGATCTCTCAATGGTTTAAGTTTAAGCACAGAAATAAGCGAAAATAAGAAAGAAAACAAAATTGTCATTTCTGCTTTGTAAGGAAGTTTCAGTAAATCTTGTAAAAATGTTTTAACCCTTGTATCCGGATCCATTTTTCCAGGGCGGATCCGCATCCGCATAAAAAGTAAATAGATTATTAGCACTGTCTTAGCACTTTGATAATTAATTAGGCCTTTCCTCTTCCATGTTTTTTGTGTCTCACTATAATATTTTTATAAGTTTTATTTAATACTAATTTTATTTTAATTTAATACACTTCTTTTAAACTATATTTTTTTAATAGTTCATCAAATTTTAATTTATCATTGCTCAAAAATTCTATTTTTTCTTCTTTTTCATTGAGAAATAAAGGGTTTTAAGATGTTTACGTTCCCATTTATTAAAATTGAATTGTTTTTGTGATTGTAGAGAGAATACCGAAGGTGAGTACTCTGGTATCGAACACGAGATTGTTGACGGGGTCGTTCAGTCTATCAAGCTCATCACAGAAAACGCATCTAGGTATTCATCAAGATTCTTGAATCTGTATTATTTTGAGTTAAAAGTATAAAAAAGAATAAATAAACCAGGTCCGGGGTATTCATAAAAATATACACCCTGATCTGAACTTAGTGAGAGAATTAATTGAAACTAGGCTTCGTAATATTATATAATTGGTGTTCATCTCTTTGTGCTGATGTGCTTTTCTATCTGCAGGCTATTGCTCAATTTACGTTTTCAAGTAATTACAAATAATAAGAAAAGGAATATTTTGCGGATGTTGTACACTTGATGGAACCTCCTGTGGAAAATATCGCATATTCTAGCCTTTAATAGATCTTTGTATTCTCTTATATCTGTTCGAAACCTTCAAATCTTATTGCTTGCTGATAATGTTATGTGTATTTTCTGATGTGAAGTTTAAAGGGAAAAATGAAAGGGGGTATAGGCTGAAACCTGAGATACTCAGGAGTTAAACGATACCTGTAAGACATCTATCTGATGTTCCTGTCTCGAGAAATTGACTTAAAACTGTGTCAAAATTATACCAAAACGTATATATATGTAAAATATACGTCCGTATTATGTGACTAGAACTCCCTTCAATTGTAGTGCAGTATACTGGTCACGTGATACAGACGTATAAAAAACATTATCAATTATATCTAATAAAAATGAAAAATTATGAAATTCAAATAATAACAGGAGCAACCCTATGATTCTCAGTCTCCTCTGGGATATCGTCGTTTTCAGATTGGTTGCGTATTTGTTCAACATTATCTGTTTAATACTAGAAATCTTGTAAAAATCTTACATATATACTTTTTTGTATAATTTTGACACAGTTTTATAACAATTTCTCGAGATAGGAACATCAATTAGAACTATTGATAGGTCTCAATCAACTCCTCAGATTCTCAGGTTTCAGCCTATACCCCTTTCATTTTCCCTTTACAGTCCCTTTAAGCATGAAAAAAGTGAGTTTAAAAATTCCGAAATAAAAATGAATAAAATAATTTTAATTCAATGTTTAGGAGAGTTGCTGAATATGCGTTTGAATATGCTAAGAACAACGGAAGAAGCAAGGTTATACAAGTCTTAAATTATTTTATACAGTTGACTTCATTTGGACATTTCACTTACCTGGAATATTGATAGTGGATATTTTTCCTGTAAAATCATTTCTACATCCTTAGTGCATAGGATCCAGATCTGTTGGATCCGCAAGATTTTAGCTTCTTGTATCCGGATCCGCAAAAATATGTGGATCCACGGATCCGGATCCAAGGCGCAACATATCGATAAAAAACTGCAAAAAAAGAAAATTTACTCTCCAACCCCAAATCTGAACTATTGAAAAAGAGATTACAAAAATGTCCTGATTTATGTATGGTTCATTAAGAAATAGGACAAAATTTGAAAATTCTGCCTTGTTAAATAAAATTCAGTAAGTTTTTTTTTAAATAACCAGAGCTGAAAACTTTAGAATGAAATATCCAGAGAAGCTCCTAAATCCTTAATATCCAGATTAAATATTGCTTGTTCTCCACATGAATTTAAACTCCAGATTAATTATTCGACGGGATATCTGGATATTTCATTCTAAAGTTTTCAGCTCTGGATCCGGATCCGGATTCATTTCTTTCCAGTGAGGATCCAGGATCCGGATCCGCATCAAAATTGAATGAATCCTAAGGACTGACTTAATGGGAGTAATCGGCAATCTATGGTAGTTGAACTGAGAATGTAGTATTGTGGAGAAATTTGTTAAGAGACTTGCAACATGTTTTATTGATAAATAATTACCGAGTTTTAGCGCAGAGTCGACGTTCAAACATCATGAATTTGGGTGGTTACGTTTTGAGAATTGTTTTGTTTTAGAATAATTATAAAACGACGACAAAAAATGTAAAATAAATTCTTAAGTAAACTGATAAGATTTTGAGGAACCTTTCTCAATGGAAATAAATTAATATAAGAATCAATTTTTTCCTTTTCATCATTATATTGAATTTATTATTCTTCATGAATTTGTTCGCAGATTTCTTCAAATTCTTCAAATGTCGTCTTTTCAAAATTATTCAACGAAATCTACAGAAAATGTTTGAACATTGAGACAGTACAGAAACGAATAACTGAACAACATTACTTTTTTTCGATGATAATAGTAAATTTTTATTTTCTCAACCTGTTCCTAAACCTCTTATTAGTTAACTGTAGAATTTTTTACTACATTTTTGTCGTCGTTAGTAAAAATTTGTTTAAAACCGATTCTCAAAATCATCCCTCAAAACTAAAAAAATCTATGAGGATTTTAAAGATTGAAATTGCGCTATTGCAAAGAGTGCATATTACATCTTGCTGAACAAATATGCACCGTAAAAACTTCTCGTAGGTCTTAAATTATTCCTAAATATATTCTGAACAATTCTACATTCTCAGTTCAACTACCATACATTGTCCGTCACTTCCTTTAAGATTAAATTAGGTATCCTCGCTTGCTGAAATAAATTTTTTTCTGAATATTTATTTTAATATGGAAAAAAATCATTAAGTTAAAATTTTGTGAAACACTCGACACTACTGTATAGTGTATATTTCCCGTCTAACCCTAGACCTCCCCTCCCCCTGGTCCCTCTTCATAACGTATACCCCTGATGTACAGGTGACTGCAGTCCACAAAGCTAATATTATGCGGATGTCGGATGGTCTTTTCCTCAGATGTTGCAGGTTTATTATTAATCGTTATCCTAAACATTGAGTGTTCGATTTTTGACTAGTTTCGGTATTGGACCCCCATCTCTACCTTAGGTTTCATGTGCCTTAAAAATAAGAAAATTGAAAACAGGAGTTTTCGCAGAATATCAGGCTCACAAGTCTAGACCGTGACCACAAATGATATTCAGCATTTTTAAAATCCCAAAAATTTGAATAGTTGCAAAAAATCCTCTTTAAATGCCGATATGCTGATTTATAGAATTAATTAATTAAATAATTAACGAATATTTACGATTCTATGTTTTTTGAATGCAGTGTTTTAATAAAAATCTTCATTTCCCTTATCTATTTATTATGAAGAAATTTAGTTTCTTGCTTGCTTGAGGTATTATTGAGTTAATTAAAAAAATTCATTAACATCGGTTTTTTGTTCGCGATCTTTACTTGCCAACGAATCGTCTTTAATCCTAATGTTGTTTTAATATCCAATTCTAACCCTCTGCTATGTGCTTATATATGATTGGAGTGGTATAAATCGATAACCTCGTGTTATGCATGCTGATGATCAGCACTTAAAAAAAATTTAATGCTTCATTGGTTATAAAACTTACAGGTCTCTTTTGCTCCCTAAATCTGTAAAATTATTACCACCCGCCAATTTCAAATTAAATATTTCCGGGTTTTTATTAAAATTAACAATAAGTGTTATTATTCTAGAGAGGCAGCTGAAAAATATCCTGAAATTAGATTTGAAGAAAAATATCTGGACACAGTTTGCTTAAATATGGTTCAGGTAAACCTAAGAACTACATAAACAATTCTTAATTCGACTTTTTTGATGAGATTTTTAATCCTCGCTACGCTCTGGTTAAAAATCTCATAAAAAAAGTCTCGAACCCTCTCGAAAAAGAAAAGTGAGCTCAAATACGTTATACCTCGCCTCCCTTCATTTAGGTTTTCATTTTTGAATTCAATTGAGTGGCAACGGCGGTTAAACGTGGATATGGTTTGTCTAACAATTTTGTGATTTAAAGAAAAATTTCAACTCATGATTATTTTTTAATTCAAACACGTTGTACAAACTTTGGTACCAGTACAAACGTCGGACGCACAAACGTCGGATGCCACAAACGTCGGACAGTACAAACGTCGGACGCACAAACGTCAGACCAGCACAAACGTCGGACCAGTACAAACGTCGGACCAGTATAAACGTCGGACTAGTACAAACGTCGGACCAGTTCAAACGTCGGACGGGTACATTTATAAGAAAAAACGTCGGACTTGGTAGATTTTGAATGGACCATTGTATTAAACAATTTTAAACTATGAATTCTACAAGAGCATACAGTTTAATCCCTATATCTTTGCAACCCGATGTTGTAGATGTTTCCAAGAACAGTTCGTGGACTTATTGCTTATTTCTAGAGCTTTCTTTAACTACTTGTTTTTCTATTTCACGTACTCTTTTCTTCAAAAGATCACTGGCATGTGTATGCTCTCCCAAGAAAATGATAATCTTGTCATTCTCATTGTTTACAACTGCTCCTGCAGGACAAGAATTGTTTTTCCTTTGAATGCATTGGTAATAGGTTTTGTTGGGTTTCTTCTTTGTAACCCTATATTCAAACTGATTTGAATCAAGTAGGTGCCGTCCCCCCTGCTTAAAATCAATATAGTTAGCAGTCTCCTCGTCCATGTATCCAGACTTTGTGAGATTATGAATTTTTAACAAAAAAACATTGGGAATTTTTTTTAGAGAAAATTGCGAATTTACAAGAATTCTAATCTGAAAATTCAAATGTATTTTTTCCTCCTTAGTCCGACGTTTTTCCTTATAAATGTACCCGTCTGACGTTTGTACTGGTCCGACGTTTGTACCAGTCTGACGTTTGTAATGGTCCGATGTTTGTACTGGTCCGACGTTTGCACTGGTCCGACGTTTGTACTGTCCGACGTTTGTAAGTCTTATGTTTGTACCGTCCGACGTTTTTACTCGTACCCAAACTTTAAAATTCTAGCAAAATATATTCTCGTGGAGCTACTTCTACCATTATAAGAAATTGATAGAACATTTATGCAATGTTAGAAACTGTAATCCTTATCTTTCTGATAATAAACAGTTTACTTGAGCTTGTTAACAACAGCTTAACTCGATTTTACATCTTGTTTGAAGTTTAATGAATCGAAAGTGCTAATTTTTAAACTATAGGAACAATGTAGGAAATTAACGGAATTCAACACTGTTTTAGTAAGAAAATCGATGATATCTTTATAAAGTTCTCAGATAGTCTTGAAACAATAAAAGAAATTAACGGAATTCAACACTGTTTTAGAAAGAAAATCGATGATATCTTCGTAAAGTTCTCAGATAGTCTTAAGACAATGAAAGAAATTAACGATATTTAACACTGTTTTAGAAAGAAAATCGATGATATCTTCGTAAAGTTCTCAGATAGTCTTAAGACAATGAAAGAAATTAACGATATTTAACACTGTTTTAGAAAGAAAATCGACAATATCTTCTTATTGTTTATCATATAGTTTCACATATGACTTAAAGGTCTCACGCTCTCGAGCAAATATCGATGAGAATTTAGCATATTCCTAGGAAAGAGAGATTAAAGTTCTTTGTTTCATTAAAGACCTGAGCTCTTGGAGGTAATTCCAGAATCCAATATAATATTGATTTCATTGGGATTATTCCAGGGTTCCAATAGAACTCTTGAGTTCAAGGAGATAGTTCTTGAGTTGAGTTCCAATTTAACTCTCGGGTTCACTGAGGTAATTCTTGAGTTCCATTATAACTCTTGAGTGCCGTGAGGTGGTTAGAATTCCAATATTACTCCGAGTTCACTGAGATAGTTCCAGAGTTCCAATATAACTCTTAATTCATTAATATAGTTCCAAAGTTCCAATATAACTTTGGGTTCAATGAGAGAGCCCAGAGTTCCATTATAAATCTGGGAACAAAAGTAAGTATCAGAATTCCATTATAACTCTGAGAGCAAAGGTAATTATTAGAGTTCCAATATAACTCTGAGTACAAAGAAAAATGAGTTCTATTATATCTCTAAATAATGAGAGGATTTTAAAACAGGGGGGGGGGGAGAAGAACTATAATTCTTGTAAAAAGAGACAGATAAGATGTAATTCCCATGTAATTGAGTCCAAGGAGGAAAATTAAAAAAATAAAGATAAAATCAAAAATTCTTAAAAGTTTTATAAGGGGAAGGGACTTACACTGAGGTGGCAGAGAGTACGAGCGTGGGGCAGGCCAGAGCGTAGGGGGGGATGGAGGGGTCGCATCTGAACCCCTTGCCCCTGCCTCATCTAGCGCTGGCCATCTAGTCATGCACTGTTCTACAGTGCTTACAGACTCGAGGATAACTCCAGTTCTCATGATGGAGGCAATTTTGGAGGCTAGGTCCAGAGGGGAGAGGGAGGAGGGTATTTGAAAATTTGAAAAAGTGGATAAGTACATAAATAAATAAATTTGAAATAGGAAATAAATAAAAATTGAAAAAGTATGTAGATAAAATAAAATTTAATACATAATAGTTCCAGGTGTTCTTGAGAAAGTTCTGGAAAAAAACTAAAAACCGGAACTTTTATAAAATGAAACAATAGTGTACACTGTACAGCATATGTTACACCAACACGATCTGAAAGTATACTGAAGATACTTCCGGCGGACTGGCCCCACTAGGGCCACAGTACACAACAGCTGACAGTACATCTGCTCTGCGCCGGGCCGGGTCAGCGTACAACACCTATAATCCCCGTACAACCAGGGACACCGGAGGGCCTAGAATAAAATTAATCCCTAATCAACGTGAAGGTTAACAATAATTATTCTGGTTTAGGATCCGAGTATGTATGACGTTCTAGTTATGCCTAATCTTTACGGAGACATCTTATCTGACCTTTGCGCTGGTTTGATCGGAGGTCTGGGACTTACGCCCTCCGGAAATATTGGTACTGACGGAGCTATTTTCGAGGTAAAATTACTTTCTGTTGTGTTCTTTTTTTCAACTGTTTTCATTATGTGTTATCAATATTGCTAAAAATTATATTCATACTGTACATGGTTCTGTCCCTAATATTGCTGTAAACTTAGTATTATTTAAATTAAATTATATATTCAGGCTAGACACTGTACTGCTCCAGATATTGCTGTACAATTATTTACATTATATATTCATTATTCATGCTGTAGACGGTACTGCTCCAGATATTGCTATACCATGATTTACATTATATAATCAGGCGGAACACGGTACTGCTCCAGATATTGTTGTACAATTATTTACATTATATATTCATGCTGTACACGGTACTGCTCCAGATATTGCTATACAATTATTTACATTATATATTCAGGCTGTACACGGTACTGCTCCAGATATTGCCGGGCAGGATAAAGCCAACCCTACAGCTCTTCTTCTATCCAGTGTAATGATGCTCCGGTATATGCAGCTGCCAGAGTACGCTAATAAAATTGAAGCAGCAGCATTCCAGGTGTGTACTCGGAGTTCCTCATTGCGAAATTTAAAAAAAACTTTTGTTTTGTAAATCCTTTGACCATCCAGTTAGTTGCAACATATATCCTCCTCAGGATATCCATTTTTCAAAGCCAATGACACGAATAATGAAAACTTGTGAGGTAGCAGCATATTATCCTGAAATTAAATATTCTTAAGTGTTAACTGTCGGATCAAGATTATGTGTTATAGATGAACTATATTTCATACTCAAATTCTGACCTCTTGAGACATAACAAAAGTTATCATTAAACCTCATTTTAGCTTTTTTTTTTTTTAAATGTGAAATTTAATTTAATCCTAATGTGATTAAATTTATTTATTCCCCCCACCCCTTTCTTTAATGAACGCTCTGTGGGAGGAGGTGGGGCCTCATAACTATTTTTCTTATTCGTAGAACTGACAACTTGTCAAATGCAGATATGTACTTATGTTTTATCGCAAAGGAGGGGGTAGGGGGCTGAAATGTAGGTTTTAAGTTGAGCAAATAATTTTCCACTAAGATTTGGTAAATTATCATTTTAACCCCCCANNNTGCTCGGCTTGGAATGAGTCAGACCTAAGCCAAGTGTCAGTTTTAGGCCTGAGTTGAGAGAAAGCATGATAAGCCCCCCCTCCCCTTCCTCCTAGCAGTGTAGTGCTATCTAGCTGCCCTCCCCCCTCCTAGCAGTATATTGCTATCTAGCTGCACTAGAATTATTTTTATCAGTATTTCATCCTAATGACAAATTTGTTGTGCACTGAGGATATCGAGATAGGCATGTGGGATATCGATCATTTTTATAGTGGATATTAATAGGATATCGAAGTAAGAAAACGGAATATTGATTCAATGATACGATGTTAGATGTTAGAAATGGGGATACCAACGTCAGAAAATATCTATGTTAGTAAAGGGGATATCTATGTTAGAAAATGGGATATCAATGTTAGAAAAGGAGATATCGTTGTTAGAAAAGTTGCTGGTGATGTTAGAAAAGGGGATATGGTATTAGAAATAGGATATTGATGTTAGAAATAGGATATTGATGTTAGAAAAGAGGATACCGATGTTAGAAAAGGGAATATCGATGTTAGAAAAGGGGATATCGATGTTAGAAAACGGGATATCGATGTTAGAAAAGGGGATATCGATGTTAGAAAAGAGGTTATCGATGTTAGAAAAGGAGGTATCGATGTTAGAAAAGGAGGTATCGATGTTAGAAAAGAGGATGTCGATGTGAGAAAAGGAGGTATCGATGTTAGAAAAGGGGATATCGATGTGAGAAAAGGAGGTATCGATGTTCGAAAAGGAGATATCGATGTTAGAAAAGGAGATATCGATGTTAGAAAAGGAGATATCGATGTTAGAAAAAGGGATATCGATGTTAGAAAAGGACGTATCGATGTTAGAAAAGGAGGTATCGATGTTCGAAAAGGATGTATCGATGATAGAAAAGGGGATAGCGATGTTAGAAAAGGGGATATCGATATTAGAAAAGGGGATATCGATGTTAGAAAAGGGGATATCGATGTTAGAAAAGAGGATATCGATGTTAGAAAAGGAGGTATCGATGTTAGAAAAGGAGGTATCGATGTTAGAAAAGAGGATGTCGATGTGAGAAAAGGAGGTATCGATGTTAGAAAAGGAGTTATCGATGTTAGAAAAGGAGTTATCGATGTTAGAAAAGGGGATATCGATGTTAGAAAAGGGATATCGATGTTAGAAAAGGGGATATCGATGTTAGTAAAGGGGATATCGATGTTAGAAAAGGAAGTATCGATGTTAGCCATATTATCCTGTTGTTACTTGATTTCGGAAAAAGTAAGATCAAAATTTGGAAATGTAGATAAGAATTTTTAAGAACTATCTCTGTTTTGAAAATCTATTTTAAGATTTAATTTTCAAAAAAGACTCAACCATTTTAAACAAATTATAATGTTATGTTAAGTAAACATATATTTATATTGTTTAGGTGATAAAAGAAGGCAAAGTCATAACTGGAGATCTGGGAGGAAGAGGGAAGTGCTCCGAGTTTACTGATGAAATTATTAAAAAGATTGAATCAATGTAAACAAACAAACTAGTTTAGTCCATTTTTCCACACGTGATACAACGCAGGTTTTGTATTCTCTAGTCCTTCATCAATTGGTACAATACAGTACATGAGTATTGTGAACACTGGTACAATACAGTACATGAGTATTGTGAACACTGGTATAATACAGTATGAGTATTGTGAACACTGGTATAATACAGTACATGAGTATTGTGAACACTGGTATAATACAGTATGAGTATTGTGAACACTGGTATAATACAGTACATGAGTATTGTGAACACTGGTATAATACAGTATGAGTATTGTGAACACTGGTATGATGCAGTATGAGTATTGTGAACACTGGTATAATACAGTATGAGTATTGTGAACACTGGTATAATACAGTACATGAGTATTGTGAACACTGGTATAATACAGTATGAGTATTGTGAACACTGGTATAATACAGTATGAGTATTAAGGTGTCCAAAGATAACCAACTTTTGAAAATAGATGTGCGCGGTAGACTTTCCCATTCTAATGTGTACCGTAAGCCCTAATCTAAATTTTTACGTCAATATCTCTAAAAGTAAAAAACATAATCGCTGCTGAAGTTTGAAAAAGACCTACACAGTTCCCAACAAATATTTCTTGAATATATCATGTCACATATCATTTTCTTCGCAATTGTCCAGAAAGATAAAAATCCGTTGACATTTTTTTTTTCAAACTTTAATCGAGCTACATCCAAAAAAACCGCTAAAAATGTACTTTTCTAGAAAACAAGCATTTTGGGGACGGTTTTTTTGAACCGAATTCATTTATTTTTATAAAAAAAAATCAACAGATAGGAATTCTCTGATTGAAAACGAAGAAATTGATAATTATTTGATTGAATTGAATAATTGGTGGCGATTATCTCCTAGAATTTAAGAGGTACCGACTTTTTTTAGGAATTACAAGGGGAAAAGTTACCATGCTCATCACGCGCGCCATTTTCTAAAATTAGTATTCTTTTGTGGACACCTTAATAAGTATTGTGTATACAAAAACATGTTTTAACCAGTATTATGGTTTTCTTAGACAAACAAAAAATCATGCTCTTTTTTGTTCTGGCGATTTCACACCAAATCTTTTCGTAGATTTCCAAAGATAATTTAAAATAGTGGCATTATTTTTTAATGAAACAAAATTAGAATCTCAAACACAGAGCTACTAGACTAGTGTATAAAAATTTAAAACTAAAAACAAACAAATAAATGTAATAGCAAAATCTTTTTCCGTTTGATCTCTCATCTGTTAACTGGAGATTAGCACAATTATTTATTTAGCACTAGTTTAGGGCCAAATTGACCATTCCCCAGCAAAAACAAAAAATTCTTTAAAATCTGTAGAATCCAGTTTCTTCATCATTATTGTTATAATCTTGTTTCAGAAAACCTACCATGTCCATGACTTGACAGTTAAAATGGGAGCTTTTTTAGATAAACCTAAGACGGAGAAATATAATGAGTCCAAGATTGGAGGTGGGCTCAGATATGGTCTCTCCTCTATGCAGGTTAATAAAATCAAGAAGACTAGGTTTACCGCCCTTTGATCAACATTACCGACCCATCACGTCCCTTGGGACAATTAAATAAAGTAACGACCTGCCCTGCGAAGTTTTTGTGAAAAAATTCGCCAATTCGCATATATTTAACCACGTTTTCCCTCAACCAATTTTGTTTCCAGGAACCCTTAGTAAAGTAAATTTCTCTTAATTTCCGTGTAAAGAAGGTGTAAATAATTATAAAAAGAGGGGGTGGGGGTAATTTACTCCAAACCATATAGATTAAAATCTCCGTCGCAGGACAAAGTTAGTTTATGCGATATAAATCAATATTTAAATGTTTTACTTCTTTGTGAAATAAAGGGGTGTAAATTTTTATAGAAACATCTTATTTTTCCTTGAACTTGTATAATATATATGCTTGCTAATTCTTTTTAACGTTTTTACTGAATTAGGTTAAATGATTTTAAGAGAAAACAAATGAAGTATAAAAAAGTATGAACAAACTTGACTTTTATGTCCAATTTTTCCTAATCACTACAAATAATTTTCTCCCCCCCCCCTCCACAGCTGAATGGGTTTGTTTGGAAAATCTCTGAATTCTCTGGATCTCCAGCTAACGATTCTATTATTACAGGGATGGAGAATCGAAATGGAAGATGCACATTCGGCAATTATAGGAATTCCTGATCAGAAGGAAACAGGTAGTTTAAAGGAACAGATTGCAAACTTCGTCACTAATTTAAAGGAACAGATTGGAAAATTTGATTTAAAGAGCTGGTCGCAAACTCTGATTTAAGGAACAGATTTCAAACTTTATTACTGACTTAAAGGAACTAATCTCAAAGATAAACTTATCTAAAGGAACACATCGCAAAATTCATCATTAATTCACAGAAACTGATTGTAAACTGTGAAAGAATTTAAAGAAAGATTTTTTGTTGATGCCTATTTAATTTTTTAATTGTTTTCAGAGCATCTTAAATTATTACCCCTCCTTAAACACATATACCCCTAAGAATCTAGGTAAAGATAAAATATTTAAAAATTAAACAAAAATTATGATTTTTTAGTTTCTTGGTTCGGAGTATTTGATGGTCATGCTGGGTCCAGAGTTAGATTTGTTTTTAGAGTCAATGAATTCTATTTATTTGCTGGACCAATGAATTCTATTTATTTGCAGAACCAATGAACCATATTTATATGCAGGACCAATGAATTATATTTATTTGCAGGACCAATGAATCATATTTATTTGCAGGACCAATGAACTCTATTTCTTTGCAGGACTAATGATGATTTTACCTGTTCATTGCAACAAGAACACACTTTGTCCAAGGAAATAACGGTTGTTAAATAAGGGTGAAATCTGGTGGCACTTTTTTTTATAAAATGCTAAAATCCACCTTTCCCCACTTCTCTTGGTTTAACAAAGGATTTCGATATTTTTTTTAAATTTTCCAACCTATTGAGATGTTTTTTTTTTGGGGGGGGGGGTGGTAAATAAAATCACTTATGTAAACCATAAAAAATTCGTTGAAATAAATTAAGATTGGTATTATAATGTCCATCTCTAAACACTGAAAAATAATTAAAATTGAGACTTAAAAAATTTTTGTATTCTTATTTTTAAGATATCAAAACGGACAGTTTTCAGCGGTTCATAACACATCTGTTGATACCCATATCGACATGCTTTGAAAACATGATTCCTTTATCATTCATGTTTTTAAAATTGTTAAATTACTGAATTATTTAGGATTTTTTTAAATTTGTTTCTTTATTACATTTTCCTTCTAATTTTACAAGATTACACAACTAAATCCTTATTTAATTTTAAGTGGGGGAAAATATCCAGATTCGACAATTAGAATATCCGAATGTGAAAATATAAATATCCAATTGCGACTATTTATCCAAATGCTACAGTAAAGATATCCAAATGCTACAGTAAAGATATCCAATGCGACAATAACAATATCCAAATTTGACAATTAAGATGTCCTAATGCAACAGATATCCAAGTGTGACAGTAAAAATATCTAACTACTACAAAAGATATCAAAATGCAACTAAAGATATCCAAATGCAATTAAAGATACCCAAATGCAATTAAAGATATCCAAATGCAATTAAAGATATCCAGATGCAACAAAAAATATGAAAATGCAACAGTAAACCAACTGTTGATTGGAAACTAGGATGAAATGACTGATGCTGTAAAGCGTGGGATGCTCAAAGGGTTTCTAGAGTTAGATGAGAAGCTGAGGAAAATTCCTGAGGTGAGTTTTAATAATCACCATTGAGTGAAATTTTTTATCATAAATCTACGACTTCAGTGCTAAGATGCTTACTCTCCCCCCCCCCCAGCATCTTGGCAATTTTTAGTTTTGTTTTTTTTTTTTAAAAAAAAAAAAAAAAAAAAAAAAAAAACTGACAAAACGGTTATTTTTCAGTTTGCTTTTATAGAATTTTGCAACATCTTTATTTCTCAACCCTAAGAAAGAAAGAAAAATTAAGAACGCGTTTCTGCATGGTTTTTGTGTTTTTTTTTTTGCATTTATCTTTTGCCAAGGTCAAAATTTTACATAATTTAAGAAAATTAAATGTTCAACATAAAAAATTAGGAAAAAGTTGCTGCTATTCATACATTATGCCAAATGTTGACCATAAGATAAGGAAAGAGACAAAACAACTGAAAGTACATCCTAAGAGATTAAAGTAGGGTTAAACTCTCCAATTTCAAATTATATTTAGTGGATTTCGTGTTCAGTTGCTAAAGTAAAGCCCAAACAATAGTTTTGACCTCAATCTTATTTTTGTTATAGATCTGTAAGATATTTGGATCCAAAGTTTTGGAATTTTTCAAAATTATCGTCTTTTTCTTTAAGAAATTAATTTAAACGACCAGAGATGGAATTTAAAGAATTTGAGCCGCGGTTTAAATCGGCCAAAACTCGGTTTAAATTCAGCGCCGGCTTAAATCTTGAAACATTTGATACAATCTAAAGCGGAACCAACCATATTTAAACCGCGGCTTGAATTTAAACCGCCGCTCAAATTCTTTAAATTCGGCCATAGGATGATTTGGCATCTCATTAGTTGACAGTTAAAATGAATATTTGACCGCAAAAATGTTTCTATGGTTTTGTTGATATATTGCCACCCCTCCAGGAAGTAGTTATGTGCTTTCAGTTGAACTTGAACTTGACAAAGACCTTGAACTTGACCTTGCCTTTTTTATAGGTTGCCAGCGGTGAGGATAAGTCGGGAACAACAGCTGTTTGTGCTCTCATTACTGATAAATATCTTATTCTAGGCATTCATTCATTCATACTTCTTTTCATCCTTTTTGCGCTCTCGTTGTTTCATGTGCTATTCAATTCATATCATGAAACCCCAATTTAAGGGCCGAATTTTTTAAATGGTAAGATACACCTCTGGACTCTGATCCTGCCACGCCTCCTGGTAGTATCTCTCCATTATGTGTTTTGGAGGCCGGGGTGGCAGGGCTTAAGTTACTGAACCCCTTGGGCGGTCTGGTTCTCCCATATGGGGGGGGGGCTTTCATATTTAACTCTTTATCTTTATCTTTAACAGACTAAAATAGTTTTTATTTAATTGTAAATTGTAATTCAGTATTTTTTTTTTTAAAGAGTAATTATTGTGTATGTTCAATTCTTCAAATGGTTTAAATATCCCTCCTGTAATTGAAATTTCCGCTAAATCAAAAGCTAAAAATTAATTAATAAGCTGTGAGCCATGAGGAGCCGGGAGCTGCTGACCATTGCAGTGTTGATCGGGATATATTGTCAGAGGCCTAGGATTTCCCTAGCAACTATTCAAATAAAGTTTTTTTAATGAGATTTTTTAGTACATGAACGGGTTGTTGGGATCAAATCTCGGAATTTTTCTATCGCGAAAGTTGGGTTGGCCGTGTATGCAGGGTGGCCAAAATGTACGGATTGTACGGATTGATTTTTTTTGAACCCTAAAATTGTACGGATTGTACGGATTGCACGGATTGTACGGATTTGTTTTCAAATTGTACGGATTTTATCCTGGAAAATACACCGTTTTTTTTTAAATTTTCACTCATTTCAGCAAATTTTTCATGAAAATAAAAAAAANTGTACGGATTTAAAAAAAAAAAATTGTACGGATTGTACGGATTGTTTTTCGAAAATTGTACGGATTGTACGGATTTCTTCTAAAATGTACGGATTTTTGTACGGATGGGTTCAAAAAAGTTTTGGCCACCCTTTGTATGGGTTTTTATTCATCTACAAGAAATGAGGCCCGGGTGCCTTACAGACGAGAAACACCACACTCATTGCTCCCAATCATTTGTAAGTCCGGACTGGATACCTCCAGGTACCTATAGTTGGCAACCTTAGCCTTTACCTCCTTGTACACCTTCCTATCTTCATTATCATCCATTTGGATCAATCCAATTTAAGCTTCTTTCCTGTTGAGTAGAAAGCACGCACCTTTTCCCTGCGAGAGTTTTTAAAAGCCACCCCTCTTGTCCTCCTACATCCGTCAGGTGGTCTTAAATGCTTAATCTGATGTCAACTTCAGATATTTTTGAAACCAAAGGTTTGTGCGTAGTGCGGGAATCGAACCCGTGAACACCAGTCTAGACACCAATCCAGTTACAGGCTGTGGACAATTGTGCTTAACTTCAGTAAACTAAGAACTGGTGTCACACACTAGCAATCCAACCCCACTTCAAGTTATAGTATTCATTCAAATCAAAAAGTAAAATGAATTAACTTTTTGTGACGAATGAATGAATGAATATTGCGTAGCAAACTGTGGAGACAGCAGAGGAGTTTTCTGCGTCAGCGGTAAACCAGCTCTGGCTACTCAGGTTGGGAAATTCGTCAAAAATGAACTTGATATTTTTATTCTATTCAAAATACATTATTTACTTCTATGGTGAAGTGAGATGTTTCGTTACTTTGCGTAATTTTTTTTGAACATATAATTAAAAACATCTCTCAAGACTTCATAATACAACTTTGAAGTAACAATTACTTCAAAATAGTTTAAATAATTATTGATTTTATCGTAAGCAAAATGTAAAATTTATGGGATTCTTTGTTCTTACTTTTTTTACCGCAATAATAAAAGCTGAGAGAAAATTCAAACAATTAAAAAATTTGTTAATGTGTCCGATTTTTTTCTATTGTCATTATTTAATGTGTTGGCTTGATCCCAGAAATTATGATAAAAAGTTTTTACATTTCTTCAATATTAATCGTTTTAGGATCATAAACCCTCCAATGAACCTGAGAGAGAAAGGATTCAGAATGCCGGTGGTACTGTTATGATTCAGGAAAACAAATACACCATTATAGCATGGGGGGGGGGGACCGTATCCGTATAGCCTCCATCCTGCAATTTGCTCCCAAACATAGAGTTACGGTAACGCGCTCACCCTTCTAGCGCTTCCTAGGACTCTGATCCCAGCTGTTTTTTCTTTTTAGATGTATTAGGGTAGTGTATTTTTCGACCTACGCAAATTCGCTATACTCCAGTTCTGACCTACGCCAAATTCCACTGATTGAAAATGTTTTGAATTTCAAATGTATAATCAGATAAATACGATTTTATTATACTTATGCGTAAAATTTAAACTAGAGTAATATTGTGCATGTACTGTGGTGTTGAAAGTGGCGTATTTTGTAGCGAGTAAATGGTTCTCTGGCTGTATCTAGAGCACTGGGGGATTTTGAGTACAAGAATGTTGAAGGCAAGGGACCAACTGAACAACTTGTATCTCCGGAACCAGAATTCTTCATCAAGGTTTTATTTGTTATTATTTTAGTTTTTAAGTTTTTGGGAATCGTTTTTTTATTCATATGTCATTCTTTTGCTTTTGTAATTGATAATTAGTTGATATATTCTTATTTTTTTTTCATCTTTAATCTTTTCATCTCTTATCATTATTTTTTTCTTTCCTCCTTTCTTTTCTTCTTTCATCTTTTTATCTCTTTATCCTTTCTTACTTTCATCTTTTTATCCTTTCTTACTTTCATCTTTTTATCCTTTCATCCTTTCTTCCTTTCATCCTTTCATCTTTTCATCTTTTTATCCTCTCATTCTTTCATCCTTTCATCATTTCATCCTTTCATCCTTTCATCTTTTCATCCTTTCATTCTTATCCTCTCAATCTTATATCCTTCTATCCTCTCATTCTTTTTTGTTTTTTATTCTTTCTCCTCCTTTCATTCTTTCTCCTTTTTTCATTCTTTCTTTTCATCATTCTTTTTTCCTTTCATACTTTCATCCTTACCTCTTTGATCTTTTCATCCTCTCATTTCTTTTCCTTTCATATTCGCATTTTGTCTTCCTTTTATCTTTTCGTCTTCTTATTCTTTCTTCATTCTTTCTTTCTTTCTTCTTTGGTCCTCTCATTCTTCTCTTTTTTCATCCTCTCCTTCTTTCCTTCTTTCATTTTCTCATTCTTTCATTATAAAGTATAATATCAGTTCCTGAAAATTTGTTCAAGATTTGCTTATTATTTTGATCAAATGAAAAATTTTAAAATTTAAAAATTCTTATTTTATAGTGACTCTTTATGAACTAATTGGAGATTTTTTTGTTATTAATCTTTCAATAGTTAACAGTTGAGATTTATATTTTAAGAGTAAATATGGTTTTTAGTGTGTTTTGGTTGATATTTTGCTCTTTGGATCGAATCCGTGGATCCGCATATTTTTGCGAATCATGAGCACTGCTTTTATTCTTTTTTTTTATTTATCATTTCATCATTTATATATAACTAGAAATTCAAGGCGCTTCGCGCCCTTCTTTCTAGCCTTAGAGGGCGCTTCGCGCAAGAATATGTATTTAATTTCTGAAGTTAATTTATAGAAAGTTTAAGAGCTCTTCTTGATTTAGCATTTCTTGATTTCTGCGTAATCCTCTCTTTTAAGAGTTATCTTGTTAATTGCGTGCAAAATTTCATGGCTTCTACTTGGCTGTTCGGTTTCTGCAATCAACACTCGTTATTGGTTTAAGGGGATGGTGGAGATGGCACATTTGATGTAGGGGGAGGGGCTGCCTTCATTTTTGGTTCAAATCTTCCAATTGTTTTGGCTGCAAGCCTAGTTAGTGATCGAAATTCCTAAAATAAAATAAAATTGAATTTTAATGACCTCTAATGACCTCCACAAATAGAAAATATTTCAACTATGGCTTTATGCATATCAAACGAAAGCTAGGAACCCAGGGAATACAGTAGCAGCAACAAATCCAATGTTTGACCTTCTAATGACCTCTAATGACCTAAATGACCTCCAAAAATGAAAATGTTTTAAATATGGCTTTATGCATATCAACGAAAGATAGGAACCCAGGGAATACAGTAGCAGCAATAAATCTAGTGTTTGACCATCTAATGACCTCTAACGACCTAAAATGACCTCCAAAAATAAAAATGTTTTAACTATGGCTTTGTGCATATTAAACACTTGATGCGTTGCTGCTACTGTATTCCCTGGGTCCTAGCTTTCTATTGATATGCTTAAAAGCTGTTCAGAAAATGTTTTATTTTACAGGATATTTGTGACTTTATCTCCGCCCGAATGAAGATCTCTGATAACTTGGAAACTATTTGCAATGAAGTTATTGATACCTGCTTAAACAAGGTCAGCTAGCATCTCCATATCGTCTGTCTGTCCGTTTGTGTCCAATAAACGTCATAACGGCTGAACCGCTCGGGCCCAAAAATGTTGTGTCCAAAAGTTTTTGATTTAAGTTGTTTTTGAAAATGTGCGAAAAAGTATTATGTAATCCGTAAACTTTTTTTAGCTATTGTTTCATATTGTACAAAGCTATAGCAACAATTAAAAGTTGAATTAGAAAGGGGGCGCAAAGCGCCCTACAAGTCTAGAATTCTAAATTTATACTTTGCTTGACTGTTTGTTTGTCTGTTTTTTTATCCTAAAAGCGTCAAAACGGCTGAACCAATCTGACAGTACTATGATAACAACTGACAGTACCATGATACCAAAAGACAGTACCATGACAACAACTGACAGTAACACGATAACAACTGACAGTATCATGATAACAACTGACAGTATCATGATAACAACTGACAGTAACATGATAACAACTGACAGTACCAAGATAACAACTGACAGTACCATGATACCAAAAGACAGTACCATGACAACAACTGACAGTAACACGATAACAACTGACAGAATCATGATAACAATTGACAGTACAATGATAACAACTGACAGTACCATGATAACAACTGACAGTAACATGATAACAACTGACAGTTCCATGATAACAACTGACAGTACCATGATAACAACCGACAGTACCATGATAACAACTGACAGTAACATGATAACAACTGACAGTTCCATGATAACAACTGACAGTACCATGATAACAACCGACAGTACCATGATAACAACTGACAGTACCATGATAACAATTGAGAGTACCATGTTAACAACTGACAGTACCATGATAACAACTGACAGCACCATGATAACAACTCACAGTTGCCATGATAACAACTGACAGTACCATGATAACAACCGACAGTATCATGATAACAACTGACAGTTGCCATGATAACAACTGACAGTACCATGATAACAACCGACAGTACCATGTCAACAACGGACAGTGTCATGATAACAACTGACAGTACCATGATAACAACTCACAGTTGCCATGATAACAACCGACAGTACCATGTTAACAACTGACAGTAACATGATAACAACTGACAGTACCATGATAACAACTCACAGTTGCCATGATAACAACTTGACAGTACCATGATAACAACCGACAGTATCATGATAACAACTCACAGTTGCCATGATAACAACTAACATTACCATGATAACAATTGAGAGTACCATGTTAACAACTGACAGTACCATGATAACAACTCACAGTCGCCATGATAACAACTCACAGTACCATGTTAACAACCGACAGTACCATGTTAACAACCGACAGTACCATGATAACAACTCACAGTTTCCATGATAACAACTCACAGTGCCATGTTAACAACTGACAGTACCATGATAACAACCGACAGTACCATGTTAACAACCGACAGTACCATGATAACAACCGACAGTACCATGATAACAACTCACAGTTGCCATGATAACAACTGACAGTACCATGATAATAACCGACAGTACCATGTTAACAACCGACAGTACCATGTTAACAACTGGTCCAGTACCATGATCTAACAACTAACAGATCCATAATAACAAATATCCTATTATCCAGGGGAGCCGAGACAACATGAGCATTATTATCATCGCCTTTCCCGCTGCCCCCAAGGTAAATCTTTTTTATTAAAGATACTGTCCACGTATTATCATGGAAATCCAATCAAAGAGATTGCAACGGTGCCATGTTTATCTGATTAGTTATATGGAAGATATCGTAGTTTTCCAGCGTAAAAAGGGTTGAATTCTCAACAGCAATACAATTGTGTGTGAAAAAATAATCCGTAAGTCATTCTAATAGAGAAACTCTAGTGAATTCCGAGACAAAAATAAGGATATCATGTTCATCTCTAATCGGTTTAAGGTTGGACGAGTATCGTTGTTAAATCTGCATGCTCTTCTTAAAATATAAGCTAACTTGCATTTACAAGTTTTTACTGAAGCATTTTTTTATTTGGTAAAAAAAAATCCTTTTCGGCGGCTTTGAAAACTTTTTATTCATAATTAATCTTTAAATAGGTTGATCCCGCGGCAGTTAAGGCTGACCAGCAGTTAAATGAACTACTGGAGAAGAAAGTTACAGGTAAATTTTTATTGAAATTGAATTGATTGAAGTGTTGACTGATTGGCTGGTTGGTTGAATTGATCGACTTTTTAACGGTTGGTTGGTTGATTGGTTGGTTGGTTGGTTGATTGGTTGATAGGTTGATTGGTTGAGAAGAGAGGAGAGAAACTAATATTTTGAAAAAAATATTTACCTCAGTAATATTGTACAGGATTTGCTCCCGGTGGAGGATTTGCCTCTAAGAAGGTTTTCATTGAAGAAGTTTACAGAAAACTGCTTCCGGAGAAATATGAATCCAGTGTGAGTAATATGTCAATTCTTAAAGTGGACAAAATTTCACTAGGCTCCATGTTAAAAAAGCAGCAAGTCCGATTCAAAACGGTATCAATCATGCAAAACATAATGGATTTGCGGATTCGTGACGAGCAAAACAAATTGATAGAAAAACCACACTAAATTTTGTATTGTTGATCTGTAAAAGGGGAGCACATACAAAACGTATCGTCACTAAACGTATCATCACTACAGAACATATCTTTTCCCAATATATCAAAGCACAAAACATATATTTTCAAAATATATCAAACTACAAAACTTATCAAACTTCAAAATATATCAAACTATAAAACTTATCAAACTTCAAAATATATCAAACTACAAAAATATATCAAACTACAAAATATATTTAACTACAAAACTTATCAAACTTCAAAATATATCAAACTACAAAACTTATCAAACTACAAAATATATTAAACAACAAAATATATCAAACTTTAAAATATATTAAACTACAAAATATATCAAACTACAAAATATATGAAACTACAAAATATATCAAACTTCAAAATATATCAAACTACAAAATATATCAAATTACAAATCATATCAAACTACAAAATATATCAAACCACAAAACATATCTTTTCAAAATTTATCTACAAAACTTATTAAACTTCAAAATATATCAAACTACAAAACTTATCAAACTACAAAACTTATCAAACTTCAAAATATATCAAACTACAAAATATATCAAACTTCTAAATATATCAAACTACAAAATATATCAAAAATATATCAAACTTTAAAATATATTAAACTACAAAATATATCAAACTACAAAATATATCAAACTACAAAATATATCAAACTTCTAAATATATCAAACTACAAAATATATCAAATTACAAAATATATCAAACTACAAAATATATCAAACCACAAAATATATCAAAAACATATCTTTTCAAAATTTATCTAACTACAAAACTTATCAAACTGCAAAATATATCAAACTACAAAACTTATTAACCTAAAAAACGTATCAAACCCAAAACTTATCAAAATAACTACAAATCAATTTGTTATTTATTGAACAGATATGTGGTCAAGGGTACACTTTTTGAAGCTTGCACACATAGTCTTCAGGTCTTCTCTGTTCTGTGACCTTCGTTTGCTCTTATTCTGGTTTCCAGGAACGCCTACTCCCAGGCTATCCTTCACAAACAAGTTAGCCTCCATCTCGGAGAACAGGGGCCAGATAACTGAGAATTCTGAGTTTACCGAATTTTCTCTTGAAAATTCACGGATTTTCAAACATTTTTTAGAACATTTCAATGATTTGAAATTTTAGATCATGAATTTTTTTGATAAGTTTTGAGTGTGATACGTTTTATAGGTGATATGTTTTGTGATGATAAGTTATGTTTTGAAAATGTTTGTGGTGATAAGTTTGGGACAATATATATGTTTTGTATGTGAAGGGCATGAGGAATAAAGATATCTTTGGAAATTTAGCATGTTTCGGTTAAAATTTAGAGTCGCTTGAAATTATGTTTACCTACCCTTGGAGAACAAACTTATTTAACATTACACTTTAAACTTCATTTTTTCAGGGGCAGGGGGTGGGTTGTACATTAAATTGACTCTGCTTTAAGAGTAGCATGTCTGATTTACAATGGTGACTTATCAATAATATTGAAGCTTTTGTCTCAGAAATGGTTAAATTCAGATAGTTTTTCCTTTGTTTCTGTCTTAAATTCGCAAGTCCGGGTTACACTGAATAGAGAGATAATACTTGAAAATTATTTAGTTTAAAAGAGAAAAACAGATAAATCTAATTTAGTTCTGATCGGGCAAAGTTTGGTTGAATACCGTTGTAAATCTAATTTAGTCCTGATCGGGCAAAGTTTGGTTGAATACGGTTGTAAATCTAATTTAGTCCTGATCGGGCAAAGTTTGGTTGAATACCGTTGTAAATCTAACTTGTCAAACTTAAAATATGAAACTTCTGTAGTTATTTTAAAGTGAAATATTTGTTTCAGCAAGATGATTGCCCGAACCCCTTAGCATCGCTGCTCTTCGCCAATGCCAGGAACGCTGCTGCAGAAGATAACTAGACTTTGACAACATTTATTCACAGAGGCGATAGGAGCAGCGTCTAACAGCAGTGACAGCTGATGCTCCTGACAGTTGTGACAGCTAATTGATCGACAGCTGTCTAAGCTGTTGTTGACAGTGTCATAGCTGTCGCATTTACCTGCTGTTTTAAAAACTATAAATTTGGCAACAATCAATATTTACTCTACACACTTACCACCATCCCCCGCTACTTCATGTCGCACAGTTCAGCGTTATGGAATTGGACTCGGAACTGTTTTTTATTCCCCCCCCCCCCTTGAGATTGTGATTAATGTCACAAATCTTTAAAGAATACTTGTGTCTCCTATATCGCACACAGTGATGCACGATGTTAGGCACTTATCCCGGTATACTTAGTTGTACACTGTAATATTCTTATCCCTTTTGGCGTAAACAAAGTTTATGTACATTGTACTATACTCCTTTCAAATTAGGATAAACTAGAAGTAGCCTCAATATCTTTTCAGTAGGATGAATCAAGGAAGTGTACCTTCTTTTGAAAACCTTCTTTGGTATAAATTTAAGTTTTTCTTGGTTTAGTTTCTCTTATTTCTTTCTATTTTTATGAAGCGATATATATTAGATACTGTATACACTGAATGCGTTTTTTAAAAACGAAGATGGCAGAGTTACGTAAAGGGGAAATGTCCAATAAAACTAATAGACGTCAGAGTACTATTCTTATGTTGATCTGTTTGTTAAAGACTCGTACATGTTTCTGAATCCTGGCTAAGCGGCCTGTAGTAACTGCTGAACAATGTTGTCAGGTCACATGAGTAGGATGAAATCTAGATCCATTTTCTGTAGTCCCTCTGCCCTTGTTTGCCAGTAAGGGGCTTACCGAGGGGGGGGGGCCATGCGGCCATGTGCCCAGCAATATCCTGTTCGAACCTAGGTAGTTAGCAGAACCCTCCCCGAACCCCTCGGAATCCTTTTCGAATCCAGCGAAAGACTATTCAAAAAATTAACTTTTATTAAAAATTGACTTTAAAAAAGAAATAAATTCAAACAACATGAAAATGTGGGGTTACATACTCCTCGTAGCTTAAATTTAAAATCAACTCTTTAAAACTGTTTTAGTGTAAAATTTTGTCTTCTTAGATTTTACAAATACTTCAGATGAAATGATCACAGTGATAAATGATGATATGTAAAATCTTGCAAATAAACATATTTTGAAACTTATTATTTATCATTCATTATGGTACACCATTCAAACAAAAATGTGTAGAAAGTGTATAATTATGTTATTCATAATTCTTTTATAATTCATAATTTATTTTTAAGCTAAGAGGAGCAATCTTTTCCTGGGATTTCGTTGGGTTCGGGCAGGGTTCTGCTAACTACCTTTGCCCGAGGCGTCCCAAATCAACAGGAGTATTTAAAACGTACTTTGTATCTCCGTACTTTATAGTGCTTGGCCGCTAGATGTGTCCCAAAGTACAGGTGTCGGCACATAATATAATTTTACTATGCTTTCTATTGGTTTTCGTCGAGAGGGGTCGTATTTCACTGTACTTCGGACTGTCACAGTCGGAGACGTCATATGTTAGCAAAAAGACTCGGGCTCTGAGTTCGAACAGGATACTGCTGGGCACATGGCCGCATGGCCCCTCAAAAAAACAGGACCAATCAACATTTTTAAACCCCTTTTTTGTGGTTGGAATCTCCCCCTTTCTTCCCTTCTGTTAGTTAGGTGCTAGATAATGATATGTCAGTTTGGTCAAATGTTGAGAACGTCCGTACAACGCGAACCTGTTATGTCTAATCTTGGAACATATTCAATACTGAGAGAAAAATATCCGACTGATTCTTAACTCTTCTTTGTACTGTGTTCTTACTTCTAATTCTCCCACATTTCTTGAGTACAAGTAGCCTGGTCTTTTTATATATATTTTAAGTACATAGCAATTTAGGGGGGGGGGGATTTTTGTTTAATGTATTGTTGATCCTAAACATTTTGTGTGTTAAATATGATTTTCGGAAATGTATGTTTAATTGCTTTTACAAATTTGTTGCCATTTTTAACTTAATGAATCCTATTTTACAATTTATTGTTTATATTTATAACTCCTTGCACCTTAACCTTTTATTTAACTTTAACCCCCCCCCCCCCCCTCCACATGCAACCTCCCAATAAGCTCTCTTTTAACTTGTTTTCTTTCCAATTGCTGTTTTTTCAATATAGAATGAAGTGGAATTTAGGAACTCGTACTTTTCTAATCATTTTTTATTTTTTAAAGAGGATATTCACGATTATTAATGATATCTGTATGAAGAAAAAAAAGATTTTACAAATTAAGAAAATAAATATGTACTTTCTGTTAATGATTTTTTAGTAACGTTAGTAAAAGGGAAGAGAAAAAATACAGGTTTTGAAATTCTAAATTTTGTTAAATAGGGACAGATATTAAATATGAATTTAAAGGGAAAACTGAAAGGGATTATCAACCTATCTAAAAATTAGTATTTATAGCTTAGCCTTCTTTCGTACTTGGCAAACTTCGCGAAATTTTGCATTTTTTTGGCGAAAATGAATTTTGCGAAAGGAAGCGAGAACTATGCTATATTTACGACGAAACAAAAATATTTTTGCGAAACGATTTTTCCATGTATTTTCAATAAAAATGGAACCAACATACTTTTTTACTGTACAGAGGTTTGGTCCATTCGGTCCATCACCATCACCGAATTTTCTATATATTTTCAATAAATATGAAACTAACATCTACTTTTTTTTTACTCCACAGAGGTTTGGTCCATAACCATCAACGAATTTTAAATCGATTTTTCCATTTCCATTCTTACTCTGATGATGCCGTGGGTGAGGACCGAAATCTTGACCTTTTTTGTACTGAGAGCGTTATTTTCATAAGCGAATTGTTTAATATCCTTCAATTCTTTGACTCTTCATCGAGGACAGAGAATTTAGTTTATTTTTCAATTATTGCATGAATTCCCGCAAAATCGGAGTGAACGGTAGCGTAAAGTGTGAGCTTAACACAGCTTTAAATCAAATACGTGTGCCCACTGAAAATTTTACGTCCAGAGCAGTTTCCAAAAAATAGAAAGTAAATCCGTCACTTTGAAGAAAGTAAATAATGTTATCTCAATTATAAAGCAGCTTCCTAAATAAGCGTGTTTGTTGATCAATTAGTTTAAAATTGGGTTTAAGGGTACTTTTGGGAATCCAACACGCACACGAAGGGCCACTTAAAGGTCCTTTTAGATAACAATACAGACTTGAGGAAATATAAAGTAAGAGTAAAATTCAAAAAATGTTCATAGCTTTATTTTTTATATAACCCTACTAGCCCGAAAACTTAAAAATACGTATGACATACGTATATATACGTATTTTTAGGTTTAGGAATATGTAAAAATACGTATAGGAATAGCGTAAAAATGCGTATGAAAAAAACCTAAAAAATCCAATGAATCGGGATTTTTTAGGTTTTTCCTATACGTATATTAGGTTTGAAAAAATCCTAACGTTTCTTAATTTTTGGAATTTTTAGGTTTTACCTAAACGTAAAAATACGTATTTTTCAAGTTCTAAAACTAAAAGAGTGGACTATAATTTTGCATGGGCATTGTCCTGAAGCGTATTCAGGGGGAATGGGGCTAAGCCCCCCCCCCCTTGGACTAGTGAACTCTATTGAATTCATGGGGTTTTCAGACCCCAACGGGGTCAGAAAAACAATAACCATTTTCCCTGTTACAATCCAATCCAATATTTTGTCTACATTCCTTCAATTGCGTCCATCTAAATCAACAATCATATATGCATATTGTCTGTATTTTCAACAATTACCATTTTCCCTGTTACAAGACTGGCAAAGTAAAACTTCTATTTTTTACAGAACAATTATTCTAAAAAGATTACAAAATATTTTCCAATTCTAACTTAAAAATGCATTTTTGTGCAGTTGAGGTTTAGTGAATATATTGACACTTAAAAAAATTACTTGGTATAAAATTAACAAAAATATACGTACTTTTAAGTTTGCCTTAAACTTTTTAACTCTAAAAAAAATAAGTAAAGAAAAATACATAAAAATACGTATTGTAAAACCCTAAAAAAAACTTTGAAACATATCTTGGTATAAAATTTACGAAAATATTAGAATTTTTAGGTTTGCTTCAAAATTTAAAACTCTAAAAAAAAAATACAATTTATTAAGTAAAGAAAACCCCTAAAAAATGCGTAAAAATTACTTGGTAAAAAGTATACCTAATTTTCGTATAAATACGTTTCTGGAAAACCAAAGCATTTTAAAAAAATTGCTTGGTATGATAAATACGTAAAAATACGTAAATATACGTAATTTCTTTACCCAAAAGTTGAGCATACGAATTTATACGTAAAAATACCTATTAATACGTATTCCTATATAGAGACTTCAGTATTTTTAGGTTCTCGGGTTAGTAGGGAAACTAGAAGCCAAAGAGAACAAATACCTCAACAGCAAGAAGTGAATGCAGGTTTACATGGTATGAGGGAGGGAACCTCCGGACGCCATGAGCCTCCGCTATGCAGACACGAGCCTACCAGAGTTGCTAGGCAGACCAAGTCTCGGAGCCTCCGCTTTGCAGAAATGAGCATGCGCAACACATCAAAATGTGCCTCTGTAATAAAGGAGGGTTTTTAAAACTTGTGTTTTAAGTTTTAATAAAAGATTTTTTTGAAATTTTTAGACATAGTGGCATGGGAAGCTTCTCAAAGATGAGAAGTATTTATTAATTATCATAAATAGTGTCTAACTATGACTAATAAAGTGGTATCTAAAACTTTGAATATTTTTTACACGAAAAGGAAAATATTTAGAAAAAAAATTTGAATTGAATTTCATTTTATCTTTTATAATCTTTGATTTTAGCGATACCTTTTTTTAAGTTCAAATTAAATCTAAAAATTGTATTTATTATTTGAATCTTAACATTTTTCAAAAAGAGGTATTGTTTAAATCAAAGATTACAACAAAACAAACCAAGTTTACTCCAGAAATATTTCTCCAAATATCTTTCTTCCTGCGTAAGAAATGTTTAAAGTTTTAGTAGAAATCTTGTAAACCACTTTATGAGTCCATATATGTTTCTAATCATGACAATCAATAAACAACTCTAATCTTAAGTAAAATTCTTTTGCCACTACGTCAAAAGAAATTGTTAAAAGTTTTCATCACTCATAAAAACCAAGATTTTAAAAAAGCTGTGCTGTATGTAAGAGGCTTGTTTACTGCATAGCGTAGGCTTTGTCTGCATAGTGGAGGCTCGGTCTGCTAAGCGAATCTGGGAGGCTCAATGTCTGCATAGCAGAGGCTCATGACGTCCAGGGGTTCCCTCCCTAATGGTATACGTCTAGTATCGAACTAGATTTAAAATAAAATAATTAAATTAGTATTCATTTAGGGTTAGGTTAGGTTATGACATTTTCTGGGCCGAGCGCTGCGACTAGGACAGGTTAGGGGGCCGAGCGCTGCGGCCACATGTCTTACATTTAAGACCCCACCAGCTGCCAGTCTCTACGCATCCCCCTGGATCTAAAAAATTCAATCCCCCTCTTTCTGTTTTGGAATTTTCCGGGGCATTGAACACAACATGAAACTCACAACGCCAAACCCATGACCAGCTGGGGGCGGACGGGGGAATATGTGATACCAAAATTTGAATTTTTATAAAAATATTCATTTGAGTAATTAAGTAAAATTTTGAATCTATTCTTAAAATCTAAATTAAATGGCTATAAGTTGCCTGCTCATGCTCTCTCTTCTCCCGCTACTTATTTTTCAAGGGAGGAAGGACAGGAATCTCCTCAGATATCCAGGGAAGGGGACGTCCTCTAAATTTTCTTGTGTTCTAGGTTCTGAGAAAACTATATAAAATTTAAGTTACAAAACTTCCCGATACACTTTTACTCCAAAGTGTTTGCACTGTATGAATAGGTCATAATCTCTTAATATCCTATACAATAGGCAGGGAAACTGGGAAATGGACGTCCCCTAAATTTTCTTGTGTTCTAGGTTCTGAGAAAACTATATAAAATTTAAGTTACAAAACTTCCCGATACACTTTTACTCCAAAGTGTTTGCACTGATTGAATAGGTCATAATCTCTTAATATCCTATACAATGAGGCAGGGAACCCCCGCGACGACAGGAGCCTCTGCTATGAAGACACGAGCCTCCCAGATTTGCTGTGCTGTATTGTGGAGGCTCATTCACTGCATAGCGGAGGCATGGTCTTTATAGCGGAGACTCGGTCTGCCTAGCAAATCTGGGAGGCTCGTGTCTGCATAGCAGAGGCTCATGGCGTCCGGGGGTTCCCTCCCTCATACAATACCCTGATATTTGGTCAAATAATATATTCAATATTTATTTACTAATAATGAATACCAGTAATTAGTTCCAAATAATTTATTTTAATAATTATTCACAAATAAAATATTCAATAATTAGTTTCAAATATTCATCTTTAGCCACAAATAAAAAATTCCAGCAGTTGTTCGAAAATATCAAAGTATTGATTGATCAAAAATTATATATTCTAATGGAAATAACAAATATTCTGTAATCTATTTATTCGCATGGAATTGAACTCAAATCTCGTATTTTTCGCCGTCTTTTTGTTAAATCTCAAATAGACAATAATTAGTCCCAAATAATAGATTCAATGGTAGGGTACAAATTCTCTCTCTACAACATCGTAACCAACATCGAGGTCAGGCAGGCTCCTTAATAAAAGTTCAATTAACATGATTTCATACCATCATTTGCATTTCTGACCTACGCACATCGGCTACACTACAGTCCTGACCTACACGCAAGTGTTTTACAACTACTTGTTGGACATGTGGAAGCAGCGCCCGGCCCCATAGCATAACCCAACTACCCCCCCCCCTCTGTAAACATTTTCTGAAAGGAAATAAATTTGAATGAACTTTTTCAGTCGACGTAGTGAGTCAATTAAAATAAGTTTATAATTATTTATTTTAAAGAATGAAACCTTGTAATTTTGAATAATCTTGCCATAATTTACTTTAAAAAAGACTGTCAAGTGTCAAGTGTCAACGGGATTCAAATAATCCTCATTTTTGAAAATGGTTCACTTAAAATCAGAGTTAGTGACATCATGACATGTGGTTTTATGCAGACGGGACTAGCAAGGAAATTGGTCTTCCTTTATAATATGCAGGTCCAATTTTAATTATATTTACAGTCCCTTTAAAGTGTTGTTTGATCACCTAGGCTTGAATCTTTCAGCTTTCATTCTATTCCGCTCCCACCTTCCAACTTGGTCTACCTGGGAGCCCCTTAAACATACAGGGTGTCCCGCCAAACATAGTTGGTGATGGATTTGAATGTCTTCTTCCATATACTGTATTATTATTAAGTTTATTTCGTTAAAAAATCTTTTACTCAAATAAATTTTACTATAATAATAATTGTTGTTATTCTCTTTGGTATCAAAATCAAACAACTTAACAAATTATGGAAGAAGACATTGTGAACTATTTCACCAACTGTCATGTTTCGTGGGACACTCTGTATTTCAGAGGTTCAGATTTTGGAGAATGAGACTTCAGAGACGATTTACGGAATTTATATACTGTCCGTTTCCTAAAGTTCAAAATTCCCTGCAACTGTAAACTTTTTTCATCAAATCATTATTTAAGCCATTAGATAGATTAGATATCTAAGGCAGAAGTCATAATTTAACCTTGGGATCGTAACATTTAAAGAGTTTCCGGTCGTCTTCACATTCTCAACTTTTGTAGTTAATCCAATATATAAAAGGGAATATGAATAAAGGGAAGGGAAATGGCGCTGGTCTGGCATGAGAAAGCCAGTCGCACTGCTTTGTAGACGAGTTCGGTATTACATTTATTATATATATGTATGTATATTGTATTTATACTTTGAGTGGGTATTCGTTTGTTTGTTTGTCTGTTTGTCTGCTTGTATCCAATAAACGTTAATACCAGTCAAATTTTATTCATGGGACCTCACATGGCCCTTGACTCTCGAGCTGTTTATGGATGGTCAAATTAAAAAAAAATACCAAATTCGATTTATCCTAGAAAATTTAATTTTTATTTTTGATAATTTAAGAAGAGAAAATGCCGCAGATAGAGTAAGGATTAAAAGTTAAAATTAAACTTGTGTGTGAATTACCCTGCTGGGAAGCCTTTTTAAAAAAAAACACTTTTAGGAAACTCTATTTTTTTTTAATTCTTATGTATTCGGAAACTTAATGTCGTGGATCTTTATGTGTTAATAAACGCCATCAAGATGCTTTATATCAATACGATGAAGACGACTTTTCTATTCAAGTTTTGATTAATAGGAAGCTTTTTCAAATTGCTCGTTTACAAGATAGCAAATCAAAAATTAAAATTTTAAGTTGTCTTCATTGTATTGATATATACGACGACGACGAAAATATCTAAATATTTTTTTAACATCTTGATATTACAAAGGATGCTTAATGTTTTTACCTGTAGGCCTCTTTAAGGTCCTTAGGCTTGATTTTCACATCCTAGATTATCAAGGCTGTATATAGGGTTAGATACTCTGGATGTGCTCCAATGTAGGTAAATGTCGTCTTTATTGCAAGGGAGATTCTAATTCCTCATATGACGTCACTGAAACTTAACTAACAATAATAACCTTTAACAAAAACGGAGTGTGCTAATTCATGTTAGAAGCTAAAAAATGTATTTCTAATTTAAGTTTTCAATTTATTGAGCCGCATAATTTGTTATTTTTTAAAATAAGCAGTGACGTCATATGAGGATTTAGAGTGTCCATTGCTATAATGGTCGTCTTTACTTATATTGGAGGCATCCAAAGTATCTAACCTTACCTTGTTTATTATAAAAAAGATATAATTGGTGAAACATTGAAAATGTTTTAACTTGGGCAACATCATATTGTACAATGTACAGGGAGTCAAAAAAACATGGTTTAAAATATTTAGCATTTTTGAAATTTGTGGATCATTTCTGATCGACTGATCTCAATTACAGATATGTGGCACAATAATTGCAGAAGTTATGACCGTTTGCAATTTGAACCGTTTGGTTGAGTTTAATAATTTTAATTTTATCGTATCATGGAATTTCATTATGTTTGTAAAAACTAAAAATGCAAATCTTCCAAACAAATAAAAAAAGCGCAGTTATCCTTGAAGAATAGAATTAAAGACCCTAGTTTCCAATGCAGTTAAGAAATTTTCTTGCTTTTGAGTACCACATAAACTCATTTAAATTTCTCCATGTGCAAGACAGCCTACTTAAAGTCAATTATCATTACACATTATTCTATTTATGTTATATCAATATTCTTATAATAATTTGTGTGTAATTGTAAACCATTATTAATCTAATGGTGAATGAAACCTTACATAAACTTATATACACATTCTGCATGTGTCTAACCAAAATACTGTGAAATATGAAAATGTACTTTTCTCTTAATTAACTCGTTGGACTATTTCAAATCATAACTTGAGTCTGATAATCATATTCCACAGCTTTATAGGTTTCACTGCATGTTAATCATTTCTACTCTTGCAGAACTATTAAATTATAAAAATATTTTACCTGAAACAGTTTTTTGGTATTATTCACCCTTTCCTTAACTTCACGCAGTGCACCCAAGTAGTTGGTACTGCTGTATGCACCCTGGAAACCAGTTCTGCATACAGTAGTAACCAGACAACAGTGGACTGATTGTCGTCTTCTTTCTTTCTATTTTAAATGACGCTGAGGATTTTCAATCTCTAATTTTTATTTCTGAAGACGAATGTTATAGATAAAAATAGAAATTTAAAATTCTTTTGCAACATCTTGATTAGGTGAAACAATCAGTCCTTAGTATTCTGGTTACTACTTTACAAATATTGCTTCTGATTTTCTCTAAATAAACGAAAGGGGATAAAGGCTAAACCTGAATTTGGAATCTATTTTCCATCTGATTTTTGATTAAATCTAGAGAAAAACCGCCGAATTGGTATAACTGTAGTTAAAACATTATTCATTCAAATTATTTCAAATGAATTCTGTTCTTTTCCAATGAAAAAATCCAAACTGAATTCGAGTTTGTTGTTTAATTTTTTATGATGTGTGTCCTTAGGAGGACAATTTAATACGGCTGTCTCCCGTTAGAATGTTGAGCAAATGCGGGATTTCGCTGGATTCTCAGCTGTAAGCAACAAAAAAATATTTTTCAATTTTCGCTTTCAATCACTTTATTTTCTCTTTTAACCTTGAGATGTGAATTTTTCGGTCGTCATTAAAATTTCACACTTTGTGTTCCTACCTTCTTTTCCTCGACAGCTTTAACCCATTCCTTGCTCTCTTCACTGCGAAGGAATGCCTAAACATTTAGGGATTGATTGATTGATTGGTTGGTTGGTTGGTTGGTTGATGGATTGGATCGATTTGTTTATCGATTCTTTGGTTGATTGGTTGATAGATTTATTGATCGACTGGTTGATAGATTCATTGGTTGATTGGATATCAATTTTTTGGTTGATAGATTCATTGGTTGATTGATTAATTGATCGATTGATTTTTCTAAGGTCAACATCTAAAGTTGTAATGGTTAACCTTTAAAGTTTAAACTGTCCAATTTACCTTTAAAGTTTAAACTGTCAGATTTACCTTTAAAGTTTAAACTGTCAGATGTACCTTTAAAGTTTAAACTGTCCAATTTACCTTTAAAGTTTAAACTGTCAGATTTACCTTTAAAGTTTAAATTGTCAGATTTAACTTGAAAGTTTAAACTGTCAGATTTACCTTGAAAGTTTAAACTGTCAGATTTACCTTTAAAGTTGCATAGCCCGGTTTTACAAAGCTAGATTTTTTATTATCGTTATTAAGTTTTATTAAGTTAACACAATTTCATTGGCAAATGTAGATTTGGCCAAAGCAACATGTTTCAGATTGATTAGCATGGTTGGTAATTATTGTTTGCTAGTGAGATAAAAGTTTGTTTTGGTTTGTTATCCATAAAGTTAGTTAAACGTTGGCAACCCTAAGTTTGTAAGTCTGCTTAAAGTTTGTTAGTAGTTTGTTAGTTTGGGTTAGGTTGGCTAACCTCTGAAGTTTGGTCTGCCAGAGTCTTCAATGAGTTTTCAATTCTAATCTGTTCAAGTTTTGAATCCTCAGCAGCATACCTGGAGCCTAGTACCTTAATTAAAGGGAGTGGCTGGCTAGACATGGTGGTTAAGCTGAGTGTGCATGTAGCAAAAATTGTGTAAACATGATATTCTGTAAACTTGCAGTATACATTATTAATGATTTAATGTTTTAAACTTAGACATAATGACATTATTCATTGAAACTGCCTTTCAATTGAATACTTAAAATGATTAGCTTAAATCATGTGACATACTTAAATTACAATTGTTACAAAGCAATTAGCTTTACTAGTAAGTTAAAAAATCAAGTGAAATGGGTCTGTTTACACTGCACAATCGCTGTGACTCATGTTCGTTGGACTATATTCAGTCATAATTGGCGTCTAAAAGTCTTCTTCCTATTCCAGAGTTTTCTGGTTATCATTGTAGGCTAGTGTTTCGGTAATTTATCTTTAACTTGAACACCATCTTAGACACACAAGGATTACAATGGGAATGAATGTCAGCAACAAAAGTCGTCACAGGCCGGCCCTCCTCGTTCATTTCTGTGAATAGATTGAACACATGATTGGCTATATTTCAATAATTCATTAAAAGGTGATTTATATCTTTCTTTTCTTGCGGAGAGGGTTTCAAGGACACCGTTGTAAATTTTGAGGCTCACTTGAAATTACGCGTACAGTCCCTTTAATTTCAATTTTTTACCTCTGAAATATCCTTTTTCACCCCTTTCCTGTAGAGTAGAACATCCCCAGCCTCAGTTTTAGTAAATCCTGGACCATACCGGGTATCAGTATTAGGCCTAGATAATACAGATTTTACAGATTACATAATACTAGATTTTACAGTTAAACCCATATAACTGTGGAAGCTGACGTTAAGAAATACTAGTACCCGGCGTTGCCCGTGGGAAAAAATTCGAATTTGTACCCTATGTGAACCCCGGGGGTTCTCATAGGTTCCCTCCAAAATTTCAGCCAATTTGGTCCAGCCGTTTGGCCAGCATATAGCTAAGGTTTATTCAAATATATATATATATAGAGCTTTCTTACATAGAAGTCTAACTAAATTGCCCTGTGTTGCCCGTGAAAAGAAAAATCAATTGGTTTTTGAAATAATAAAATTTATCTTTGAAAAAAAAAAAATTTTGTCTATGGTACGCCCGAGATACTCAAGGGTTTCCAAAAAATTGTCATCCAATTTGGTCCAGCTGTTTTGCCAGCTATAGCTAACATGTATACAAATATGTATATTTGAGTGAAGAGCTTTATTATATAGATTATGTGATTTTTGATGTAATCATATCATATTTTAAGCTTTTAAAGGTTTTAATTTAAGATCGCAGAGCTGAAAACTTTAGAATGAGATATCCTTAACCCCTGATCGCTTAATCTGAGTATCCAATGTACACTTATACTTACACTTACGCTTACACTTACACTTACACACAGATACGATTTTATATCGATTGGACTAATATCCGATTGAACTAAAGTCCGCTGTTCAAAAGAAGTCGACTTTGAGAATATTTGAACAAATATAAATTTAATAATGTTTAAATGAACTTATTAAGAAATAAATTTTATCACATTTATGAACTATATTAATTTTGAACATTTATAGTAATAAACAATAATCCAAATAAATTAATAAACAATAATCCAAATAAATTAATAAACATTAATCCAAAACTTACGTTCGTTCAATCGATAATTAGTTCAATTGATATAACACCATCAACACCAGAAATGTGCAAAAATTAAAAACCGGTTTTTTAAAAGTTAAAGAGCGCATCTCTAATCTCTAGAAGTTAATCTAAAGACTAAATTAGTCTTAAGATTAGCAAAAAGAGAGGATCAAGCACTAATCTCTATATCCACCATTCTAAAGTTTTCATCTCTGTTTACCTTTCTTTACAAGCTGGTATATCTTCAACGACCTAGAAAATTAACTCAATAAATGTTCAGAACTCAAAATTTAAAAAAAAATTAAATACTTTGAAGAAAATTTCATTTTCTTATCGACAAAAATTAAAACATCTAGGCTTCATTTGGCAATTTTTAACAAGAAATTTCTTCCTACTTTAACTATAATTTAGCTCGTCTCATGTCAAAATCGTTAAAAATCTTTCAAATCTTCCAAAATCTTTAAAAATCTTTCAACAGGGTGTAATCTTAATATGTTTTATTTTGCTTTTGTCTGTTCGTCTCTTCTATTTGCAGTACAGTACAGACCCTATAGTTAGTAAAGGTTTATGGATGGTTATAAAAATGTTAGAAATGTTGTAAATTTATCAATAAAAAAAAATAAAAATATTAAAAAGTTGTTATTCCGTTTACTAAAATGGACGAATGGATGAAAGGAAGGCTCAATGATTATTGGCATAACGCATCGTAGATTTAAATCTATACTTATCAGACGTTTTTACTCAATACTAGAAATTCTTTCGAGGCTCTTAGGGCGCTTCGCGCTCATCTTCAATCTTCTATTTCAATTGTAAACATGTTCTCTTTGTGTACATTGTAAACAAAAACAAATTTCGCGGATTTCATAATAAAAGTTCGCGGATTTTTTAAATTAAAAAATTTAACAAAAAAAAAAGCTTTCAAACACATTTTTTTTAAATTTTAATCAAATTCATAAACCTTCACTGGGGTCACGTAATGACCGACAAAAAGTTTGGGCCCGATCGGTTCAGCCGTTTTGACGTTTATTGGATACAAACAAAAAGACAAACAAACAGACAGACTGAGACACGCTATAAATTTATATATAGAACACGGCGTAAATCTAACAATAATCATACAGTAAACTAATTAGTTTAATTTATAATACAATACCTGTTGGTTGTGAGCCCGGTGTCCAGTGTAATAAAGTTGAAGCTGACAGAGGTACCTTTAACAATACATATTTTTAATTGAAAATATCAGAGAGAAGTGTTTTCTTTACTTTTCTTCAATAAAATAAAACTGCTAACATTTTGGTAAAAATCCTAATCAATTCAAGGTTTTCTACAATTATTACAATTTTTAAGGTTGCAGCTTTGCAAGTTCACAAATTGTTCAAATTTTTCCAATTATCTGCTTAAAACATTAAGATAAAAAGTAGAGCTTTGTGGGGTTAAAATGATCATTTCTGGGGCTACAAAAAAGTATTAGTGTGTTAGACAGATAAATTCAATATCCAAGGCGTCTTGACCAATACTTAATGAAACTTTTCAGAGCAGCCTAAGCCGGGATCTTTTTCAGAGCAGCCTGAGCCAGGGAATAGGAATAAAGGGAAAGAAAATGGCGCTGGTCTGGATGAGAAAGCCAGTCGCACTGCTTTGCAGACAAGTTCGGTAAACCTTACACACACTCTTATGGTACAGACACACAACATGACTACAGTCAAGGAAATTGCAGAACAATGTTGCCAATTATAATTAAGCTTGAAAAACGACTAGTTTATTGTAAACTTTAATCAAATTATTTTCTTTGCATGAAAATTTGGCTTATAGTGTTGACTTAAATATATTAAACTTATTTTTAAGTAAACAATTAACAATAAACAAATGTACTCTCCTAGACTATAAAAATACCGAGATTCGTATGTACTGAATACACCTACAGTACACACCTTCGGTTCGGTAAACTTTACACAATCTTTTTTAATAGACACACACACATGACGTTTCCTCCCCCTGCTTGTAACTGACCACTAAAGCTGATCAGATTTTTGACAAACTAAGAAACAAATCGAGTATCATTAACTTTAAATCTATCTACAAACTAGATTATAAGCATAGAGCACGCACATCCGGTGCAGTACATTTGAATATCCGAGCTAGGCCAAAGTTTGTGGTCCTAGTTTGGACTGTACCGCCGATTTACAATTGCTAAAGCACTCATCTCTCACTAATGCATAACAGGGAGCTACCAGAGTTTGATTAGTATAGGCTATTAGTGTTTATTAGGCTAGAATCTCTTAATGGTATTTATTAGAAAACAGTTTAAAGTGAATAGTCCAGCTATAAGGCTTGCAGGTAAATAACTACCAACCCTACTGAACCCTACCTGTCTCTAGTACAAGCTGCTCCTTGCAGATAGATAACTACCAACCCTACTGAACCCTACCTGTCTCTAGTACAAGCAGCTCCTTACAGGTAGATAACTACCAACCCTACTGAAACCTACCTGTCTCTAGTACAAGCAGCTCCTTGCAGGTAGATAACTACCAACCCTACAGAATCCTACCTGTCTCTAGTACAAGCAGCTCCTTGCAGGTAGATAACTACCAACCCCACTGAACCCCACCTGTCTCTAGTACAAGCAGCTCCTTGCAGGTAGAAAACTACCAACCCTTCTGAACCCTACCTGTCTCTAGTACAAGCAGCTCCTTGCAGGTAGATAACTGCCAACCCCACTGAACCCTACCTGTCTCTAGTACAAGCAGCTCCTTGCATTGTCATGAGAGTGCTGTTAGCTTTAGATTTGCGTATTTTCTCATTTTCAACATGAACTGAAAAAGTACAATAATTTTTCAAAATCAAATTAAGTTCTATTGATCTATGCAGAGTACAGACACAGGCTGACGCTTGCAAATCCATCCAATTAAGAAAGTCTTAATAGCTCCCTGTTGACTGGATTTGCAAGGCATTTGGTGAAAATTTCCCCAGTGGGCCCAACCCAAGATGGGATAAGTTGTCCAAGGTGGGGCTAATAGTTATTTTCATTCGGGGAAAGGGGGCTCAACCTTTGGATCTAAAACACCCCTGAAATCCATAGATTTCAGTGGTCCGGGGGGGGGGGGCTGTGCTTTCACACCCCCCTGACTACGCCTCTGAATGTAGCCCCTTTAAGACCCCTGTGCACATTACCTGCACGCTTGTTGACCTCCTTCATCCTCCTGGTGTAGCTGTCGGTCAGAAACTCTTCAAGATCAATATCTTCCTCCTTCTGGGCACTGAGAAAAATTCATTGTAAACATAAACTGTGAATAATTTAGAATCAAATTCTGATACTCGAGGAGAAAATGACATTCATGTGTGATTCACGAAACCTTATTTCAATATTTTATATTAGTGTTTTCCTCAATTTCTCGATCCAGAAACAAATACTTTTGTCTCCGTAGTTCAAATTGAACTGTATTTAGGGTTTCCAATCTGAGTTCCGTTGCGCGGAATTGCGCGCAATGGTTGTTTCCGCTTGCGCCATTTCATTGCTCGCAATTGCGCTATAATTGCGAAAAAAGGAAGCAACTAAATATTCGCGGAATTGCTCGGAATTGCGTTCAACGGAATTGCTTTTCCATCTAAAAATCAATAATTTTTAGTGTACACCCCTTTAATTTCACTCGGGGGAGGGGCAATGGACTGCCCCCCCCCTGAAACCGCCTATGTTAATCATAGAATTAAATTATGTCTCTCGAATTATATTTCCTTAATCCCGGAACCAGCTTCTGAATCTAAGTTTTCTTTTCCTAAATTCACGGAACGGCATTCCAGCTTTTATAATTTCTGTCACATTGCCAAATGTTCTGACTTCTATATCATGCAACCTGATGGTGTAAACCTAACAAATTTCAAACTTAGCTTATTTGGTCTAATAGGCTTCATAGTTTGAAATGTCCAAGGTCTACGGCATTGGGTTGCAATGATAAAGGGATAAGAAAATCTGAGTTTGGGGCTAAAACTCAATTCCTTTCCTCACAAAATTATCTTTTTTTTATATAACCATGATAGAAAAGTAAAAAAACGAATTATACTTACTAAGCTCTACGATCAAAGTTTGCCATTATTCTGTCTGGAATATCAACTGCTCGTCGGATATTGTCAGTTCTTTTCTCTGCTATATAGGATATCATCGGCTAAATAGGTATCAGTATTA